TCCGGAAAGAATACCTGGTCCGGAGAGGACTAGGCCCGAGTATACTATAAGAATGGATATAAAGAAATAGGTCTTCTAGAGAACTTAATCTCGGATAGAGATCCTAAATTTACCTCTATATACTAGCGGGAGTTATATAGTATTACGAATACTAGGCTTTCCTTTACTATATTCTATTATACTAAAGCGGATAGCTAGTCTAAAAGGTCAAACCAAACCTTTATCTATACTATATAATATACTATTAATAGTCGATTTAACTAATTAGGATAGGAGGATCTGATTCCAGCCGTAATATTCGCTCTTAATACCTTACTAAATACCTTTACCGGGTTTCCTCTATATAAACTATAGTATGGACAGAAACTATAATTCCTTCTCTAGCTAATACAAGCGGTATTCTCTATTCCTCTTACTAAAAAGGGAGCCAAATACTTTATAGAAGAATACTAATCCTTATTAAGGGAGGCCTATAATACTATTATACTAGCTCAAGTATATATAAAGGTAATTTATAATAAAAAAAGGAAACTAGTAGAAATCCATATTAGGAATAAAGTCTATTTGAAATTAGTAAAAGGAATAGATAATAGATATAAGCTCCTAGATAACTTTATAAAGTTCTCCTTTAATAAAATAGGCCCGTATAAGGTAACTAGAGTTATAATACCGCTTTTATTTAAATTAGAACTACTATTCTGGCTAAGTATTTATCCCGTTATATCTATTAAATACCTAGAACTAAAGGATATAGATCCGTATAAGAGAAAGAACCCAGAACCGGGACTGATTCTTATAGACGGAGAGAAGAGATATATTATTAAAAAGATTATAGATAAGGAGATAAAAAGCATACCAGGATAATAATACAGGTAATCGTTCTATTAAGTCTATTATATGAAATATAATATAAAAGAATAGAAAATGGGAAGTAAGCTAAGAGCGGATATCCCTATACTAGTCGAGAAGTTCGAAAGGAACCTCTTAACTAGATACTAATACTATTAACTATTTGGGTATCTTATTTGGAATATTTATATATAGGAATAGCATTTTATAGGAAGCAGAAATTTATATACGAAAGGATTCCGGAACTATATTCTTAGCCTTATTAAATATAAGGCTAGTAACTATTACTAAAATATTTATAACTATAATAGTTAATAAACTAATAAATTAATCTCCTTATCCGTATACCTCTACTTATCTATAAATCTTTATATATCTATATGCCTCTACCTATCTATATACCTCTATTTATCTATATACCTCTACCTATCTATATACTTTTATATATCTATATACTTTTATAGATTCTGCTATATTGCCCTTTAGCGGAACCCTTAAGAAGCTGGCGGAAGCAAAGCTTAAGAAGAAGTAATAGAGCCCAGCCGGAAATGCCTCTATAGTACCGACGGATACTACTATAGGGCTAATTATAGTCTATGATATGCCGCTAGTATATACCAATTTGAGAAAGCGGCTAGATACTAGGAATTCAGAGCATAACGAGTATAAGTACCGATATAGAGACAACTAGGTAGAAGGCGTTCTACGGGATCCGATTAAAGAGGAGAAAGGATTATAGGACCTATCTATAGATCTAGTAGATAATCGTATTAATAGTAAACCATCTTACCGAGAAGACCAAAGCACTCTTATATAGTATACCGGTTTGGTATCCGAGCTATTAGTAGAACGAATCCTGGTTAATAGTAAGACCGGTATCCTTTATATTAGTAACTCAAAGAGCCCCCTCCTAATTAATATCCGCCCGGGTTGCGATTATCTTGAAGTATTATGGCTTTATACCAAAATCAATCTCTCCTCTTGGTTCCCGGTAGATGTCTATTCAGACCGCTTTCCCTTTGGAGATCGCCGTGGCTAGGGCAATGCCTTTTAACCCAGATATATATTTATTAACTATCCTGACCTGGAAACCGGAGAAATAGATAGAGATAACTGTATTATATATATCTGCCTTAGTAAGGACTGTAATAGCCAAATCCTTATCCTCGGTAGTAGCCGTTTTGAGATATTCAAAGTTACCGAACATATACTAATAAATTGGTATTATTTCTTTATAGATATTACGGAGCGGGACCCGAAGAAGCTGGTCTTTATTCTCCTGGAACCCGAGGAGGCCGGATATTACCCAAAGGGCCCCAAGCCACTGAATATCCGCCCCTTAGGGATATCTAGTACCTTTGACAAGCCTGTAGAGAATCTAGTTAAGATCTCTAATAATTACCAGAACTATGGTATTATAGACCCGAAGATTAGGAAGACCATTTTCGAAAATATTGCTACCCGTAGCTATAATCCTCAGGTCCCTATCTTTAATATTCTTTCCCATACCTTAATATCTGCCCAGATATATACGGCCGCCTTCCATAATACCCAAAGTATACTGGCTTTAGTAACCAGGTAGTAGTATAAGAGTATCCGTAATCTAGACCATCTTCTTTAAACTCTGGTATCCTGGACCGAATCGGATAAAGAAACTATAGCTGACTTCTATAACTGGTTTGGGGGAGATTTGCTAGGTATTAGACAGAGTATTATGAATTATAGTACTATGGATTAGGGATATACGGAAGAGGTCGAGAGACTTATGCAAGATATCCCTCGCCTAGTAGATATACTTAATATACTCCCGGAATCCATTCTCCCAATCCCTTATAGGTTTTATAGATAGCTCGCCTATATGGCATATAACGGGCTGGACTATAATACTCTCGGGGGATCTATAATCAGAATTAACGCCCCAAAAGAATAGAGTAATACTATTATACCGGAAACCCCACTCGTTACCCAAGGCACCGTATAATAGGCACTCCCGCAACTCGGCCACCGCAAACCAGACGAAGATCGCACTAACTAGCTACTTCAGAAGCTCTTACTTGGTCAAGGGAACCGTAATACTACCCTGGTCTCCGCACCAGGAACCACTAGTCCCACTTCCTTATTGCGGAAGAGAAAGGAACCTAGCTCCCTAACAAGATCCTCCTAGCGGATTGCTAATAACTCCACACCCACCAAGATTCTACAGAAGAAGGCAAGAAAGGGCAAAGCCCCCGAGATTAAAGGACTATAGAAATGGTCGGACCCCGGTACTAATAACCGGATACCAAAGGTACGGGCAGCCTGTATCCTGCTCAATTTGCCTCGACTAGCTAATTATACTACTATGGTCGAGTCTATTGAGACCAAGATTAATAGTAAGAAGCTGTTCGACCACCCGGCTGCCGAATATGGCGAGATAACCTAAGCTATAATCCTCTCTCACTTACGTCTACGGTTTCCGCAGTAATCCTTCCTTTACGATTCCCATATGGACGTTCTCTAATTAGAGAATAATACTATCGGATCTTTACCTCTTTACACCTTTTACTATCCGACATATTCTTTGCTACGGATTAAACATTCTTCTGGTCTTCATTAATTGGACGGATACTCGCTGGCCTTTATTAGTTGGATTAGTTCTATAGAGCGCTGGATACCACGGTTTGGTTATGGATGAACTTAAGTAATTGTTTATGGCTAGAACTAGTCTTTAGTAACTGGTACTCCGAACGGATAGGAAGTTTCTTTTTTATTATTTATTGTTTTATACAGATGGATCGATCATAGCCGCTACAGGAGCAGCTTTTCCTTGCTCTAGGGGGGGGAGATATCATGGGAAGGACCAGACCTTCTGTACCTTAGTCCCTTAGTCAGCGGCATCCACGCTAGCCTCCTTAAGAGGCAGTGGCGGTTCGTCCATCAAAATGCATACATTTTGATCTCTTCTTCTTCCTCGACATAGTAGGTCTTCCCGAAGCTCTCCAACGCCCATCCGCTCGTTAATAAATTCATTATCATCGGGCATATCACTGAATTCGTGGTTTCGACCCCAAAGAAGTATTCCTGGACAATACATTGAGCCAAATTTAGTCTTTTCCATGTCAATGTCGTCCGCATTTAGGGGATTGTCGATATCGAGAGGCGACTGGCTCGTTAACAGTGAATTCTGTAGAGAACCCAGCTCTAAAGCGGCTAGATAAGTTGCGTCATCTGATGGCACTGACCCCTCCGTAACGCTTGACGCAGTCGAATCTGGGAGGCTGGCTGCATCGTTTTCATCACTGTCGTCATCGTGGAGACTATCGAACTCAGCATCGGAGCTTTCACTTTCGCTTCTACCAGCCCAAGTCCTGATATAGACCTCGTCGCGATCGTCTGTGCCCATTGAAATGTCAGAAATTAAGACATGAAATAATATTTAACTGTGGTATTTGCCTTACCTGTAGAGTACTGCTCCGAATAGGCTTGTGCAGACTTTAGTATGTGGCCCGTGTCAACGTCTGCATGATCAGAGCGAAGCTTCCAATTTCCGGCAACTGGTCCTCCACTGATTGCAACATTGACACGAGCTCGCATAACATCTGTTCCGGAGCTCGGCTTCGAACAGAAGTGATGCAGTCTATCGTAAGTCTCCTTTTGGCACAGCCATGCGAGCCCGAGATTGATTCCGTTTGCATCCGATAGATAGACATGCGGCGAACGAGGATAGGTTACGTCTTCGAACGTATCTCCAAAGTCTTCGCCGTTGGGTTGTTTCTTCTGCAAATCTTCAGGGCCGGATGTCGACATCCAAACTTGCACTACAATGGTTCTCAAGAAGAGAGTTGGGCGATTGAGGAGTCCAGCATTTTGCATCCTGGCATCCACTTTGTGGCGACGCTGGGAATGAGCCGCAACCATCGTCAGTGAGGAGCAGAGACGCGGTATTCCAGGGCCTCTCGGATCAAAAGAAAGATCTCTATCTAAATCCAGAGGAGGGTATGCTGGTATACAACTATTACTTGTACGTCCTCGTAGGCGCTTCCCTGCCGTTTGCTGAAACAAGTTGAGCGGATCGCCCCCTCCACTGCGTAGGTCGTATCGACGTTTGGAGATCAGTCGCCATGCTTTGTCGCCCTTTTCACAAATGTAAAAGGCCAAGAAATAGAGGGAAGCTAACCACGATACTCGACTGGAATAGCGTTCACGTATGGCCTTGCGTCCATATGCCTGGTCCAAACCATACCTAGACATGCGGATCGGGCCCTTCCAGCCAGCCCAGACCAGCTCGGGAATCCTTCACGTCTTTCGACCCACTCTTCGGGATGCCAGTGGATATCCAATCCGAAAAGTGAGTCCAAAATGCCATATGTGCAAGTCAAGCCGAAATCGACGCGGAAACAATTTATAACTCCAGCAAAGGCATCGAGTATATCAGAGTCAAATTTCAGATTGCGCCGAACAAAAACCTCAACATATCGCATATAAGAGAACTGGATATTCGTCGGGGCTAAGGTCCAGAGTGGAGGCTGCCATTCAGCAGGACCAAGCCTGAAGAACTTTTGGAATATCGTGGTATGGCTGCGGGTGAGATCTTCTCGCCTGCTCCCATTGCGGCATATGTACACAGCTTGGCCGTTGACAAATACGACCTTACGCCTTGCAGAGAAGAACTCTTGGAAACTATAACGGAGTCAGCCTCTTCTTGTTTTATGTCCCAGAGCTCGGATAGTATTTTTACTAACGTCCAACCTCGTGACGCCCAAGGGCAGACTAAAACGTTCTCGAGATTATGCGGGAGAATCATTTCGAGATCCCCAGCAAGTTGTATTGACTTCTGGGCTCGATGCGGGGAAAATGGCCGGAGTCCTGAAAGCCCTGCCGAGGTGCCGCCCCATGCACTGCTGAATATTGTGAGAAATGCGCTTGAGTAGACCACATTCATCTTCGGAATGATCCTGCTCTTCTCCGCATCGTAATCTTGGACGATGCAGATTCTGTCTATCCAGATATACCTCTCGCCAATTGCTTTCGTGAATATCAAGGCATCACGAATGACTCGTGGCAGATCGTCGAGATGTCGGAACAGACCGTATGGTTTGCTGATTTCTCGTATGTTGTTGCGGCGCGCCTCGAAAGCTCCGTTATCTTGACCCCATACGTAACTCAACGCGGAATACCGGGCTCCTCAGGCAGTGCCGTCAAGCAGATATTTTCCGTATCGACTACACGTAGATGCTGGCAGATCTCTTCGAAGCCGTTGCCGGGAACATGTAGACATGGCCCTTTGTGCCAACGTTGACACTCGTCAATCCAACCACGGACTTCCGCCACATCAATCAGACTTGGATTAATGCGTTTTCCTGTGAAATACCCATGCCACTGCGGTAGTACCGAGATCACGGGCAGCAGATGAATAACAGGAGTTGTCGCAGCTCGTCGCTCCTTTCCAGATTTCAAGAAGATCTGGAGCACGCGGTAATTTTTTTCTCCGCCCAAGTTATCCCCCCGGTGACGTTTCGTCTCCAGTTGGCAATAGGCGCCAGCTGCCTGACATTCTACTGGATATTGCTCTTCGATGGCAGAGCAGATCAATTGGCACAGGGCGCAGTCACGCTCCAGCTGGATTTCAGCAAAGGATCTCTTGGCAAGCTCGCGTGTTGTAGAATGATCACACTGGCCATTGCAATCCGTTCCCCCTCCGCGGTCGCAATGCTTGCCGCTTGCGATGCATCCGGTACCCGTGTGGTGAGGCTTGTAGGTCGTTCGCGATGCGAAGGACTCAGCTGACAGCTGGAATGAGGAGCAAGTCGCGCAAAGCGTTGCAATCGGTTTGAGGGGCAGCGGCGGGAGATCCAACCACCACTTGGGTTTCCGTTTGGCCATACTTTTCGATTATTATTGAGAATCCTCAGTCAGAACCGTCTGTGTGATTACCGTTTCTCTGGAAGGATATCAACGGCATGACAAGACAACTTATAAGCACTTTGCGGAGCCCGTGGTCCTCCCCCTGTGTCTCAGCTTCAGCCACCGTCCGAATTCGGCTCAATCTAGATCCCGAAAAGCAATATTGGCTTGGACTACTATTGGCATCGCGGTGTAGTGGACGATGACGCCGAGGTGTCGATACATCACTCTTGGTCTAGTAGCGCAATTAACGTTTCACTAGATACGGGCCAACCTGGGCTTGCTTTTGAGGCTGCTCACAGGGTGCGCAGGACCACAGCTGTATTTTCCTACATACGCTGGCTACTATTTTGGGGCATCATGGGTGCAATCCTTTTCTATGGCTGTGCCCAAATCAATTCTGCTTCTCAAAAGCGCTCCACCCGTTTAGTTGTGCCCTCAACCCTGTGGGCAACAACTCTGAGACCCTAGGCTTCCGCTGACAAACACCACAAGAACAGCCGCGTAGCTATACTCATTAACTTTCTACCCTTTTATCTGTTGCTACGTTTTAATTAAAGACTTACGCTGCTGTCGATGCAAAAAGCTCCGCTCGTTTCGCGTTCGTTAAAAGGTGAACAGATCCTGCAAAGACCACCGTGAATACGCAAATAAGTGCAAGCCGGATATTGTTATTCGTTACAAGATATAATGTAACGATCGACACGATAAGTAAGACCACTGCCAAAGCCATGCTGATGATCGTTACTGCTCGATTGATCTTTCTCATCGAGAATAACGCTATCGATTCATCGACGTGGGTATCCTTGTTTAAAGTAAGTAGCAAGTTTAATTTCATAATAGTGGAACTAACCAAACAAATGAGTCTCAAATACGGAAGCTCGACAAGTCTAGCAAGCCAATCTTTCTCAAATGCTGGGTGCATCGCGACTAGATTATCTTCGTCGTCCAATCTATGAGCCATTAGTCCTGAGAAGGAAGGCGCATGACGTCCACTCGGCCCTTCGGACCTGCCGTCAAGCCAAAGCTTGAGAGCCTCCACAGTACCAGATTGAGGTTTCTCCATATTCAAGACTGTCTGTTGCAAGACCAGAGCTTCTTCTGTCTAAGTATCAACATCCCAAGCAATATCAAGTGGAAAAAACAACGAGCGTCACTTTCAGACGACTTACGGTACTCCTTCAACTTTTCCCTAATTTTCTCAATCAGCTCCATCCTTTTCGCCTGGTCTGGGTCCCCACTCGTCCTGAGTTTCGTCCACGACCGAAGGCACTGCTGAACATCTGGATCCTTGCGAGAATCTCGAAAATCAAGATCATCCTGTTGTTTCTGCAAGTCCAGTATTTCCGCTTCCAGGTAAAGTAGATTTCTAGACGACAATCTGTGGAATGCATTGTAAATGAAAAAAGAATGGTCGGGATCGCTGGCGATGAAAGCTGCTACTGAGGGGAAACCATTGATAAAGTTTCTGGGAGCTCGACCTAATTCGAGGTCCGGATCTGGATTCGCACCCTGCTCTTGGGATTTCCAAAGTTTGAGACGCATTTTGAGAATTTGGGTTGTTGTTTGTTGCTTGAGAAAATGGAGATATGCTCAGATGGTGGTTGCACGAGACAAGGCTGACTGGTTGGGCATTAACACCCGTCGAGGCGCCTTGAATGCCATGCCACGTTTCGTCGTTCTGTGACCCAACCCCTCTTTTGGGAGGTTCTTGGGAACTTTCTCACATATCAATAATTGCGACAATCGTCAAGCAAAACCTGAATAGGGTTTCGGAATTCGAAATATTCCCGTCGCCACTGCAACTCCAAACTTTATGCTCCTTCAAAAGTTACCACTTCTGCGTCAGATCATCTCCCAAGTCCAACATACAGCACATATCACTGTACTCGATATCAGTGAGTTGTTTGATTTCAAGACATTAATCTTGCCTGGTGGTCTTGAACATCCCTGGAAGCTCCACAATGCATCCCAAGAGGAGATGCATTTACGTCTGGCAATGTTGCGCATGTGGTTGCAAGAAAGTTAATATCGAGGCTATGGCTTGCCTTGAGTGTGGTGAGCTACGATGCGTACTTTGTCACGTAACGAGAGTCCGATTGCGTGGAACTCCGCCACAGAATTCATCGCCTACGGGAGAAGTGCCAGCTCGATACACTTCGACAGCTAGAATAACTTCACCCGTTGTATCATACCCCAGGGCCAAAACAAGACTTCTAACCATCTTGATCCATGGAATTTTGGTGGAAACTTGCCTTGCCGATTCTGGCAGCGATGTGAACTGCATCAGATACAATTTTGCCCGGTCTATCGGTGTCATAGTCACTAAGGAGGTGACTTATTTCAGCTTGCCAATCAAAAATTCCTACCTAAAGGCAACTGGAGTTGCCTTAATCATATGCCAATTCCCCTCCTCACCGACGATGGCTCAGCCAGTGAAGTTTTTTGTTTTCGACAGACTGCAATGCGATGTCCTCCTTGGCCGACCTTTTCTGCGTGCCACTCAAACGCTAGATCTCTATCAGCACCGCCTGCGCCACATAGAAGGTGCTTCCGATGTACCTCTAGCTGTGCGATCTATTGGACAGGGGGAAGAGCGTGTACAGTGTTGGTTGGACGGGGAACCCGTCTGGACGCTTCCTGATACTGGAGCTGACGTCAACTTGATATCTTCAACTTTTGCTCAGGCACTCGGATATGACGACGGGAAAGGAAAACCCATAGACTGCGGGAATAGAATCGATCTTGAGGTCGCAGATGGCTCCACTGTCACGACAGAAGGCATAATTCAACTCTCAGTCCCCTTCTCACCCAAGGAAAGCAATTCCACCATCTACGAACTGGTCGAATCTTCCAGCAAGGAAGCCACAGCCGTTGAAAAGACTGATATCCAACGGAACAGCCAAATCCGGGAAACCTTCCATGTGTTGGCAACGCTGAGATACGAAGCCATTCTGGGAGAAACTCTCCTCGCAACAGTTGATGTTTACAATCAACATACCGCCAAATTTAGTCTGGTATTGGGACAAGAATGCGCCGGCATAGCGATTTTCAGGAGAAAGAAGACTGGGGAAGGAAAGACAGGCTCAACACTTCCTCTCTCTCCCGAGCAGAAATTCATGGACGAGTTTTCGCTAGAATACGATCGCCACCTTAAAGAAAAGGGAGATATCGAAGAAAGGCAGCGACGAGGATCTATTTCGGATGAGCAAGCTCAGGTCAGGATACTTCAAGCCGACCAAGAACACCTTCAGTGGCTGAGAAAATTTCGCGAACTTCTGGAGCGCTATTATCCAGGATACTATGAGAGGAATGTCCCGCAGGAGATTGCTTAACATATTGTCTGAGCTGATGGTATCGGAATCACGCTCGTGATATGCTGGATCTGGCACTGGTGAGAAGAATGAACCCGCTGCTCTGGGATCTCGGAGGGCAAAATAAGTGTCGAATTGTTGACGGAGAAATGGGCGTGATGAAGGTGTCAATCTCAAGAAGAATTATCATCACACACCTGAGTTGCGCATTGAGTCTCCGACAATAGCACTTCAACTGCTTGATTTTCCTGAAATACGGAGCATCGATCCCCACGAATCGCTCACAGCGTCAAATACTGCAAGGTCACCAAATCCAACCAAAACCACACAGCCTGGTCCTCGGTCCAACTAAACCTCTCCCCATAATCCGGAACCCCCCATTTGTACTTCCTCGCCCACGGCTCCGCCTCTTTTTCTTCCCTCTTCCCCTTCTCAACTAGCGCTTTCCCAACAAGATCGAAAACCCTTGAATCTCTCCCTCTCCGCAGTACAGCAGCAACATCGCACCCAAGGAACTGGACAACCACATCCCCTGGCAACGCATTATATGGTGCGCAACCTGTTCGACCGTTGTCGAGAAGGAATTGCAGTGTTTGGCTCCTGTCTTTCAGCAGGATATCTCCAAAGGACACGGATGTCCCCATATTCTCTTCAATCAGGGCACGGGAAGCATATTTTGCCTGGACAGCAAACGATGTTCGTGTCTGCAACGGAACGAGTTCCCGCTGCTCAGGGAGCGAGGCAAGATGCTTTGAGAAGCTGATGGACGAGATATCTGGGTCGGCGGGAGCGGTGTCTTTATACCATGCTGGATCTATCGAAGAGGGGCTTTCGAGATCAATGCCGCGGATGAATTTCGTGATCATGCCACATGATACGCCGAAGATGTGAAGTGTGGGCTGACGGAGTGAGGGATGGAGTCTGAGTTGGTATTCCATCGCCCCCGCTGATAAATCACACTGAAAAGCGCGTTGGAGAATCTGGCTGAATCGCGGTGTGTGTTGACTTGGCCCTCTCGAATGGCGAGAGCTGGTGTAGAAGTGCATTACGTCGGCGTAGACTTGGAAGAGGGTCTTGAAGTAGTTTGGCCGGAGTTGGCCGTTCTGGCAGTCTTCTGCGAGACTGATGAGGGCATAGACTTTATCTCTTGGGTCGGTGCAGAGGCACGAGTGGAACGACTCTATTAGATAACCGAGGACGTTCCCATGGGATGAGGTTCGATGCTTATCTAGTCGGAATGCCTGGCAACGCAGGAGATCCGCTTTGTGAGTGCTGGTGAAGGTAGATCCGGGTGGGAGACTGAATTTGTTGGGGAAATAGGTTGTGCTGAGGAGTTTCCGGAAATGTGTGACGTTCTTCCAGTTTGTGGAGACTTTGTCGAAGAGAAGCGTGATCTTCGCCGCCAAACAAATTTCTTGGACGATCCATAGACGTTGCCAGTACGGGAGTTGAAACAGTGCGAGTAGTGCCTCGTGATTTTGATCCAGTACCTGAGAGGGATCTTGACCCGACTTGTCATCATTCATCAAAGCCAGCGCCTCCACCGCGACAGAAATCCTGGCCCCTTGACGGAAGTCTGCTTCACATCCAAGCCACACCAAAACCTCCGTGGCTCCCCCATAAATCCTCCCCATAAATCCTCCCCATAACTCCAACCTGGTGATTCCTCTCCTCGACATTTCTCTGATCAATGCAAAGCGCATCGATCCAAACCCACGTACTATTCTCCTCTGCAAAAACATCCTCTTTTTCCCGGGTCCGGAAATCGAAACACGCGAACTGGATATGGGCTAACGCTTCCCAGAGATTCCTTCTAACTTGGACGATCTTGCCATTTAAGAAGATCTTTTTGGTGGAACTTGAATCGGGGCCCCAGGCGTAGGAGAGCGCTCGGTATGGCGGTGCATTGGAGAGGGAGAAGTGGCGGATCCAGCATCTGATTGGACCGCGGCCTTTCGCAGTACAAAGCACGTTCTCAACCTGCAGGAGTCTGATGCTGTCTGAACTCTCGAGCGGGGAGTACCGGTACCCAGATTTGAGGTTCATTGTGACGATTCATCACGTTTTTCCATGAAGGATTTTTGGAATAGGGGAAGTGAGAAGTGTCGTTTCAAAGTTGCTTCTTTTCGCGTGTTTTGTTTTTATCTCGGCGCGTATCCACTCAGATCTTAACCCGCGTCATATTAGCTCGACGAGGAGATGGCCCAATCGCCTCAGAACTGGTTTTAGGAAGGGAAGAACAAAACAATTGAGCTTGCTCGCTTTCAGAATTTCAAAGCGTGTAAGAATCGTGTTCTCAGAAAGGAAAACAAAAGAACAAGGCGTCGGTAATTTGAACCTCGGTCAAATGAAATTAATTTATGCGTGGTCACATGACCGTGACGCCGGACCAACCAACAATACCTTACTTGCCTAGAGCTACGGATCAAGAGCTACGTATCTGAGGATCAAAGCAGCTTCTCAGAGAACAAGTTTGGATTGAGTATGTATATTCGAAGAAAGACACCAAGTTATATCAACCTCTCGACCAAACATAGACTCGTACATCCATCTAAATCTATGGTATCTAGTAATTCCCATTACTTATCACATAGGAAGTTTGTATATATAGTATTACATGACGAGCTTCGGTCCGTGATATAAAGATGGCTCATCGCGAGTGGCGACCTTGGCGCCGGTTCTCTTTGGAAATCCCTTGAAAGAGACGGCATAGGTAGCTATTGAATGGGCGACGAGCTGTGGATTATTAGTCAGAGTCTACATCCAGAAGAAGTGGAGTCATACCTTTGTGTTCAGTTCCCAAGCCTCGAAGTTCAAGTTGTCGACAGTATCACATATCTGATGATAGCAAGGGTCATACCACTGACCAGGAGTCCCACCAAACATCGCGGCCTCTTCCATAGTCTTCACCCCTTCAGCACCAGTTGCAATACCGCCTCCTGGAATTCCGTGCTTGATGAAGGCATCGTAGTCGCTGCGGCCGTCGAAAGGAATGAATGTGTAGTTCTGCCCATGTGCTTCATAATACGTCGTATAGAGATCTCGAAGCTCCTCGGATCCAACGGGATTGGCCGCATTAGTAGCATTGTAGACCTGATATGCGAAGTTGGGAGATGCAAGCATGTCATAGTCCATGAAGAGACGGATCTTCAGGTTCTCGTGCTCCGAAAGCTGAGAGACGTAGTAGTCTGATCCCAGTAGACCCTCTTCTTCTCCAGCCCACCATGCAAATCGAACACAGTTATTGACCTCGTAATTCACTAGGTGTGTTGCGATCTCGAGTAAGGTCAAGGAGCCAGTGCCATCGTCGTTGATTCCTGGCCCTTCCGCAACACTATCACTGTGGCCTCCCAGCATCACGCAGTTATCCTGATCACCGCCCTTTGTTTGCGCGATGATATTCGTCGTAGGAGCCTTGCTCACAATGGAATTGATATACGCAGAGGAGTTGATAACCTTTCCGCCTTCCAAGTCCTTGATATATGGCTCGGCATCCTGCTTCGTTAATCCAAATGTAGCAACGTGGATATCTGATGGTTCCCCAAGAGTCCCAGACAAATGTCCCTCCTCGTTGTTATATATCACGGCAGCAATAGCTCCAGCCTTACCCGCGACCGCAGATTTAGTCCCAAACGAACAGACTCCACGTTCGATGAAGGCAATCCCGCCTTTAGTGTTCGAAGGATAGTCGGATGAATCGCATCCTTGGTTCGCTACAAGGACTAAGGGGCCGAACACTGCTTGTTTGTGCTTGGTTGGTGGTGTGAGAGACATCGGGGAGGTTGATTCGGGCTCCTTATCTCCAAGGACGAGGCGGGATTCGAAGACATTGCCAACGACGGCTTTGAACGATTGGTTTGATATGGTATAGTAGTCGTCAAGCTCCGCAAGCGTAGAGTATATGTAGTCGAGGGTACCAACGTGCCCTTTGCGGCCATGGTGTTAGCAAGATAATGCAACGGGCACTGCCCGAGATTGTGGTTTACCTGCGCTCCCGATAACTCGGGTAGGGTGGTTGTAGTCTGCTGCGCCCAGCTCTGCGATTTCGAAGAGCTTCTTTGCACGCTTCAGAAGGTTCTTGGAGGTGATGTGCCCTTCTAGCGCCTCAGAGCTCACGAGTGGCTTGGTGTTGATAAGAATTTGGGAGTTGTAGCCATCGGTCAGAGGGTGCTGAACCACTGCGGCTACTGTGATGGCAGAGAGAGTGACGAGAGAAAGCAGACGGCTCATGGTGATGACGATGCTGCTCTCGAAGTGACGTATGAAAGAGAGGAGCGGTTCATATGAGATTCAGGTCCGGGAGCCACCAGACCATCGGCGAGGCAACGGCAACAAGAGATAAGACCCCTGCAGTCTTGGCAGTAGCCTTGCAGCCGCATTACGTAAGCGGCAGACGACCTCACCTCATGCTCATGTCTCTCGATTGTCTGAACCTGCTCCTCCACATCTTTCCCACCTGGCAATGAAACGAAATCATCGGTATGCGGACGGCCTATCCAAACTTCCAACCACATGACCAAATGCATGGCAAGAACAGGCTCGAAAAGCTTCGAAACAAATGCTTATCATCCAGAGGATTGTGTTTCAGCATCTTTGCACGTCCTGATAAATTCAGCCTGACTTCATTTCTTGTTCGGTCCCTCTCTTCAATGGGCACAGCCAGCACACCTAGCCTGCGTCCCCCATTGCAAACATATACCCTCGCACGGGGCTTTCGCCCCGCTCGACGACGTCAATAAGTCCTCGACTGCCCACACGGGGGAGTACGACACGAGCCCTCAGTTCGTCCTTCTATCATGCGAAACAGCCACTATCGGTCAATTCTGGACCCGAAGATTATGGCCTTTCTGATCTCTTGGCTTCGCAGGGCGGTCTTCGATAGAAGTATGATCACCGGCCGAATCCGGCCCCTCTCTTATGCGGACGCCCTTATCCTTTAGGATCTTCTACGCGGCTAGATCTCGAAGAAGCCAAATTGTATGCGTTGCGAGTAGCCACCATCATGCTTATGATCGCCCTCTTCAACCACATGCTGTGCAGCGTGTAGCCTGTACCAGTTAGTGTCGAGTCCCGCAGGGGTCAGATGACAGTAGCTCTGTCTCAAAGTGCTATATTGGGGGTTGGGGGACTGATTTATTTATTCCCTACAACCACAGAAGTTCAATCATCAGTGCAGGAGAACCTATGCAGACTCGCTAAGATCACAAGGCTTCGCGAACTGCACGGTTAGAGTTGACAGCGACGATCTCTGCGGGGAGTGCATATGGAATGATGAAGTCCGTGTAGGGTCACATTCCCAATCGCCAAACTCAAGGAGTTGTCTTGACCTGTTTTTCCAGTTGTCCAGACTTTCTTTTTTTTTTGGATGGGGAAAAGTGATTGCAGGGCACCGGCGCTGTGTTGTTTTTCAGAGGTCAGCATTTTTGGCCAGATATTTCACCATCTTCTCGTTGGATGAACTCTGACTTCCCACGGCTCTATTGGACACCCCGAGTGTTCGTTCCTGCTTGACTGGGGAGATTGAATAGATCCGGGGCGTGCACGCGCCGGTTATCTCTTCTTTAACCAATCTTGCAACCTGACCCTCGAATCGATTTGGGAACAACCGAGCCCAGCCTTCCTCACTACTGGCCGAGAGAGCATGCCATCTATTATACTTAAGTCTTCTATTGCTACATCATATGGAATTCTGGAACATTTCCCTGGAGGTAGTCCCCGAATTCATTGATCACCCAGGTATATTCCCGTCATGTCCCCTCTGACTTCTTCCTCGTCTCTGCCACAAAAAGTTTATCAGAACTCAACATGTGGAACATTTTTCTTTCAAGCCCTGCACTTCTGGCACTTGCTCTAACTGCCGCTGCAGCTACTCCACAATGCTTCTATCCTGATGGAGTGACAGTGGAACCAAACCATACGCCATGTAATACAGCACATACGAATTCGGCGTGTTGTCTCCCTCACGACTCCTGTACAGCTCAAAGATTTTGTCTTGGTACATCGAATTTCAACTACAAGGGGTCGTGTATTGATAAGACCTGGCAATCAAATTAATGCCCGCAGACTTGCCGCCTTGGTAAGCTCCAGATCTCCCTAATTTAACCTGCACTAATTGTTCCGCAGGTCCGTTCACAAAGCAATCATACGGTGCTCAAACGCCCATTATCTCTTGTAGCGGCCCAGGCGCGATCCCCAACGAGTTTTGTTGCAACAGCGTTGGAAGAAATTGCTGCTCAATTACACCCTTTGGCCTCCGCTCAACAGGGCATGCATTCACCCATGGTCTGGACCAACTCGTTCTCGGCCTGAAGGACGCGCAAAACGAAATCTCATCGTCGCCTTCTTCTGCGAGTAGCGTAGCGTCATCCGCTAAGAAAGCTCCTGCGAAGCCATCGGATCCGTTAGACGTAGCCTCGACCGTCGGACTAGCAATCGGAGTTCCATTGGGTCCTCTGGTTCTGGGAATTCTTGATTTCCTCTTCTGACGAAAAAAAATGACGCTCGATGAAGCAGAAGATAGCGAGGAGCGGCATCATTATTGATCCTGGCAAGCGCGCCTATTTCGAGCCAGGACCTCCACCAAGACCGCCTGTGGATTTACGGAAATCACCAACTTGGGGATCATCTCGATCAAATTCTCGGACGAATACCATGAGAGATATGCCTATCATACCTGAGCGGCCAAAGCCTGCGGACGCAAGTGCTGGAGTGAGAGTTGATCTGGTTTGATGCGATGATGAATGCTCTGGTGTAATTGGCGTAACAGGTTAGATAACAGCTGCTCGAAGCGGCTCGTGCTCAATGATTAATCATATTAAATTGTTCAAACAACCTCTTTCTCTGCCATGCTGTGTTTTCCGCAAGTGCGCCAGCAATGCTAGCTCACGGAGGCGGCAAGTCGTGACTTCCTCACCAGATAACAAGCCACTGCGCCATACCAGCCAGTGCTCGAAGGCCCTTCCTGCCTCGTCTGGGAAGCAGTCTACTCGTTTTCGTTTCCCGACTCTCTTCTTTCTTTCTTCATCAACAATCATCCATTCTCCATCAACATCCATCCATTCTGCATTGCTGCATCGCTCGCTGCATCATATCGCTACAACCAATCGTTTGCAATCATCACTCTTCAGAGGATTATCAGTCAATCTTCGTCCACCAGCACCGTTGTAACGCATCGCTGCACCGGCATCGTTTGCCATCGACATTTTTGCGGAGACCATCAATCACTCTTCACTCCGAGCCGAGTAAGTGCAATGCCATTCCTAGCTTCCTTGCTCCCAGACTCGAGACACTCTTGCTGCATCTAGTGTGCTTCGGATCTATCTCCGGCGAGCTTGTGTTGCTCCTGGTGAGCGTATTGGAGGAGAGGATTGCTGACTCCCGATGTTGCAGGACCCATTTGGCTCGGTAACATTCAACATGGCACCACCACCACCTACGCCCCTTCCTGGCACAACCATGAAATTCAATGATGCCAGAAGGCGGTCCAGTGTGGCTTCTACAATCTCTCATCGCGAGGCTGAGGCCAACGACAGGGTCGAAGGTTTCGTTCGGAGCAATATTGCGGATGTTGCTGGCCCTAGTGCATCACCCACTCGCCAGACGAGAGCTGCCGACCCCCAATACAGTCCTAAGAAAATCCCCGAGGATGCTGCTGCTGGCCCGAGTGCATCAATGGCTCTCGATAGCACTCTTGCAGAGTTCGATCCCGGTAAAGGTACAATGCCTGCGGCAACTCTTGCCAGCTTGAGTGCACTACCCAATCGCGGTATCGAGACAATCCCTGTCCAATGCCTCGTGTTTATCAACGAATCTTTCCCCAACGTCGAGCAACCGGACTCCTACGAGGTTGACATACTAGTTCCTGTGGCATTCAGAGCGCGTGCTGGCGCTCCTCCTGTCGAAATGCTCACGGAGCCCGATGAAACGGACAGGCAAGCGCTCATGAATGAACTGCATCGCCACAACGTGGAATTCTTCCAAAGGAAGATGAGGAATTGCTGCTGGTGCAGAAAGCCGGCTCAGGAATTCCATCCCCATTTTAAAGCGATGTACCAATTCAATTTGGCGCACAAGGATCGTGAAATGCTTGCTTTCAGACCGATGTGCCATGTTATCCCAGTCTGCGGAGAACGCTGTCTCGACGAGCTCCAAGAAAAGTACTACTCAAGGCGGATATACCCAAGTCCGGTCTTCGATTCTTGCTTTGAGAAAATCTTTGGGCGGTACCACGAATTCCAGCGCTCCGTAAACACAACAAGAACTGCGATATTTGAGATGGTTCCTTACCATCTTCAGATGACTCTGAATTGGTGTGGTATTTGTAGAGATCGTTGGTATGTAATGCAGGAGGTCAGCATATGCGAGGCTAACAAGTTGAACAGGAGCTTCAAGAAAGCTGACCAAAAACGACAGTTTCAATTGCATCGTCGACTTCATTGCAGAGGGTTGTCGACAGTTCGAGGAAAAGGGAGATCCCGTGCTGTCGCAGGTGCATCGGCACAAACTAGTAGTGCGCAACTCAATGTTGGACTGGTTCCTCGCCAGACAGCAAGTGGCGACACCATTTCTGGTCCGGCTTCCCCAAGTTCGCCGGAAGTTTTTGAGACCGCAGATGGTTCAAACATTTGCGAGCCTGGTTCATCCGCTGATGCAATCGCACAAAATGGCACGTCCAGAGCCCAAGACCAAACCCAAGGCACAACTCGATCCCATGAAGTCGCAACATCGGTAACCCCGGCTTCTGAGACTCCTCAACAAGATGGCGCCTTGCAGTCCACGGAATCTACTAGGGACAGAACCCCACAGGGTAGTCAGTCACCTAATTCTAGTTCAAGTTTAACTGAAGTCCCTCCATCTCCTGAAGGACCTCTTGCTGTGGTAGTCACGGGTATAAATCCTTGGGGTCCTGGAGAACCTTGGGTTGCACCACTTCCTCACCCGCCGCAGCCTGGAGATGGAAACAACGACGATGACAACGGTGACAAGCCCTCGCCCTCACCACGCACTGGGTTCTGGCACAGATTTGCTTGCTGGAGACGCAATCGAGCATGAAAACCCCAGAAAGGTGTGTGTCTGTTCTGCCTGTTGATAAACTGAAAAAGATGTTGCTTTTGCAGGTCATCCTTTCCATGACAGACTTTACCTCTTTTTCTGCAAGGTGGAAGCGGAGTTGAGGTTTTTCTGCCTAACAGTAGGCTCAGCGTATTTTAGTAAATCAAGCGTCTTATCCTTTCCAGTCCAAAATCCCACTCCCGCAGTCCATTCCCCCATTGGGCCCATTCAATAAAATGCCAAGACTCTCAACTTGTCCTAACTCTCCTCCTCCCTCCTCACTCCCCACCCCATCGGCCCCAATCCCTCCTGCAAACCGACTCACAACGTGGCAGCCCTCGCCCTTGCACTCCAGTCTCCGGGTGAGGTACGGGTCCACTTTACCCCCAAATTGCTCCACAACCTTCGACTCCCGACTGTCATTCCGCCGGCGAAGATGTACTGGAGAGATATCATAGTTGCTAATACGGAGCTGGCGTAGGTGTCGTAGACGTTAAGGATGTACTTGTAGCATGAGACGTAGGAGGCAGTGTAGCTGTAGCCAAATAATCCCACGGCGCCGAGACTAGAGAAGGGAGATAGAAGTGCGGTTGCACAACCGAGCCAGAACATGGAAATCAGAAACGTGAGAGGGACGGGCAGAATAGGAAGGATGCGGTAGTTCGAGGGTAATTCCTGCTCTGGATGAGTTTGTGACCACCTTCGGGAGAGGCGTCTGCGGTGCATGGCGAAGACGGGAGCGAGTGCTATGTTAAGCAGGACTCATACACCGATGGCTGAGAGACATGTCGCTGTCAACCCGAGAGAGAAAATCGTATGTTTTGGTAAAGAGGAAAGTAAAACTTTGCAGGAAGCGAAAGAGCACGATATAGACTATCAGAGGCCAGAGCCCGAGGAACATAACGATGCATTCGCGGGTGCTCATTGTGAAGGCGCGGATTCGTGAGAGACATGAAACAGTGTATGAGGGCTTTGCAGTATACGAATGTTGAAATCGTCATCGTCATAATAGCGGTGTTGTAGTGTCCAAGTAGCCCATGATGTCTCATAGAATTCCACAATCCGAAGACCTTCCAGTGCATGCTTCCATATCTTGTCTCTGATTTCAGGTGGGAGTTTGGGAAATCTGACGAACTGGCCGATGGCTATTATCCAAAAGCCGGCGTCAGCATATTTCTTGCCAAGTCAGGTCTATCCGGCGTTGGAATGTTCCAGGAGTTGTTGAACAGTATTCTAGACCTGGAATTGATAGGAAGGAGGGAACCGAGCTCTAAGGAGCCGGCACTTACCATCAGAGGCCATGAGACCTCTTGAAAGGGATCGAACGTTGCGTGCCGAGGTCTGAATATGCTGAAGGAATGCTTCCAGGTCGATTCGTTGGTCTGGAGGGGAAGCTATGAACTTCATGACCGAAGTATCGATTAACTCCGCCATATCGATGATTGCCAAAGCTTTCCATCCTAGCTGTGTCACTTCCGAAGAATTCTGTTGTCAAATAAACAATTGTACCTGCAAGTCATGGAACATTGAAATGCCTGACCTGTCGACTCAAGACGGTATCCGTATCTCCAGCCGTTGCTTCCGACAGGCTCTGTAGAATAATTAGCGATTGCAGCAGCCCGCCCTGAACATTGAGACTTACCAGTCGACTCAAGGTGATATGGTCCGCTCTCCCTGAAGCCGCCGAGGCCATTTTACTGGTCGAGAAATGTCCTCCTCTATTGGTGTTGGATGTGGAAGAAGTTGATCATTTGGCAAGAAGAGACTACCCTGACCGCCGGGTTTGAATCAGAGTTAAAAGCCTCAAAAATAAAGTCGGGTCTGAATTTTGCAGTTTGAAATTTATTTGCTTCATTCACCTAAACATGCCGAAAGATGCATTTCAGAAGACTCATCTATTGGCCAGCCGCACTTCTGAATCATTAAATTTTTCCTATGTCTTATGAACCTTCTTTCTAGGGCAGCTATAGAGCGGAGACTCCATCTCTTCAGATCCCTAGAACGTTCAGTCAGAATGTTGGAATATACTATCGATCAAGTGGCTACCACCCCATACCTCCCAAGAGAAGAGCAAGAAGGCTGGGTCACACTTGATGACCACCTCATCAAAGTAGAGTGGATAGTCAAAGAACCCATGTACCTCAACGCCAAATACAAAGCACTTTGTGAACAAGTTGCTGCAGAAGCAGCTCTCATGAAAGGGCAGACTGAAGTCATCATCAGGTAGCTCTGCCTGCCATTATGGGCTTTCCTCTGGACAATAGTGAGATTTCGCTGACTGAATCATCTTCCCCAAAGCAACAAAATCCACACCACCTCGACCTTCAACAGCCACAAGGTCACCTATGATCCCCACATAACTGTCCACTTCCCAGCTCTTGATCGACGAGCACACGTCTACATTGGCCCAGAAAAGGAAAAAGATTACAAGAAGATGAAGATCTGGAGGCGGCATGGAAAGCCTGCTGTAGTGCTTTGTTGAATCGCAGATGAAGACTCTTAAGCGAGGTTTAGCTAGATGTCGATTCATCATCACCTTTGACACTGAATACGAGGAATTTCAGATATTGGTGAATTCACAAGACAAGTTCTTTGAAAAACTAGACAACTTTGACTTGTCAGCTTACCCTTATATTTCGTGACCTTTTCGGGCTAGTTTTGAAAACTCATCCTCCTCTCAACCCGCCTCGCATGTGGCATTTTCTTAGCACTCTGATACCCACGCCCAGAATGGCTATTGCAAAGCAAAACAAGGCTCCGAGTGACCTGCATTCTGATACCTCGCCCAAGTGGATGTCGAACGAAGATATCCTCCGACCTGATCGCTTTGACCCCGACCCCGAACTTGCAACCACGGCCTACAAGGCTCTCGATCTCGCCATCAGCAACAGCAACCACAAAAGCGCGTCCAAAGGCCACAAGGAGCTGCACGACAACATGGATTTCAACATGGATCTCGATGACTCCGATCAACAAGATGGAGGCGTTTCTCTCGTCTCTGGGCCCAGTTCCTCAGCCACGTCCTCCCAGAGCAGCGCAACTGGTCTCGGCATCCACACCCATTTCTCACCCTCTTCACCCTCCTCCCAACCCAGTGCAAGATGGCTTGGCCTCGCCAGCAACACTAAGCTCCGGTCATCCCCTTCCCCTAAGTCCTACGCAAAAGGTCTTGCCGGCAACATTGATCTCTCGCCCTCCCCGACCCCGTTGATCAACAAACCAGGTCTTCCCCTCACCATCAACACCGATCTCCCGTCTCCGAAAAGCGAGCAGTCTACCCCCAACACCTATATTCGATCCCCGCTCACGACGATTCATGAAGAGCACGACACTAATGCTGATGTGAAGATGGATTTATCCTTCGTCGACGACGAGGAGATGCCTGATCTTGAAGACTCAAGCACCAACCTCGACCTCCCGTCCTCGCTCCCTGGATCGTGGCCGGATTTCTCAAAGACTTTCCAAACCAAGTACGGTCCCTCCTCGCCTTCACCTCTCAAGAAGGAAATCGAAGACGCGCCACCACTTCCACCTCGCCATTTCGGCCTTCCTGAGTCGAAGAAATCGAGGTTATGCAACGAGATCGACACCGTCTCTTCTGATGATGAACTCCCGATCTCGATCAAGAATGAGGATGGTGATGGTGATGAGAAGAAGGTGGGTTGGGGCGATGTGAGAATTGAGTGGGATATGAGCCTCTGGCCTCCCGAGAATGTGTATGAGAGAGAATTCTGTGAGAGAGTTTGCGAGGAAGTTGCAGTTGCGAATGGATTCCAGAAGGTTGTCATAAAGTAGGTCGCCCCTTTATCTCACTGCCCTCTCCTCTCTCAACCTCAACCCAAAGCATCCAAGCACAGCTAGTCTGGAAAATCACTGAGCAGAAAAATCACCTAACGCCGAGTACAACAGATCCCTAGTTCGAACCTACACCACAACACGCACCTTCTCCACTACTCGCCGAGTCTTCTTCGAGCCCCACCTAATTGCTACTTTCTCCTCCTACCCCTCTTCCCACCACGCCTCCTTTAAATCCACCATCTCCTACAAGCCTCAAAAGGTCTGGTCCCTCCGCTCCCAGGAACTCACCAAACAACGAGAAAAAAAGGAAGAGGTAGTGCGAAAGACGGCAGATGTGCACATCGGACCAGATTTCTCATGGGAGAAAGTCAATGGGGAGGGAGTGGGTGTGGGAGAGATGATTGGCAAGTGGGAGAGCTGGGGCTTATGGCGAGGGCGTGGGAAGGAGGTTGTTGAGTGGTGGGGGGATTGGGAGACGGAGCGGGGCTGATCTGAGCTGAGTCTGCTGTACATTGGAGGTCTAGTCTGATGGGGCGTGAAATGGAAGGAAGGGGCGGATACAGTTGTTTATCTGCTGACGATGGGATTTCGAGATGGGATTCTAGGCACGCTACAATTCGATTATTCGGATTACGGAGCGTACTACGAGACAGACCAACGACGAACATTGCGGTAGAGAGGAAAAACACTCACCTTTACAACCTCCAAGTGCCTCTTCTCCCCTCATTCTACAATCTCCCGTCTCCCCCCATCCAGCAGCCCACGTGACACTTCATCACGTGCTACACGTCGCCGCCTCCTCAACCGAGCCCCTGAAACAAGGAAACCGTCTCATCCCATCTCCCTGGCCTCCCTCCTCCCACGCATGCCATAAAATCCCGCCGCGGATCACTTCTAGCACCCTTGCCCCTTCTTCCGCTCTACCCAGACCCCCTCCCCTCCCCACTCCCCGGCCCATCAAAATCAGACCGAAAAATCTCCTCCCGCTCGTCCGCGTCCACCATAACCGAAAAAAAAACCCCCCAGATCGGCCAGCCGAGAACCAGAACCTGAGACAGCCCGCGGCGAAAAATCGTACGACTTTTTGATACCCCGCTGCCCGCCGTTGCAGCAGGGCATGAACGAACCTCTCTGACGCCTGTGTATCCACATCGCGGTCTCGAATCGCGTTCTTGAAGCTAACCCCAGACTGCTTTCATTTGAAATCCGATGGGAGTTTAGGGGTTGGAGTTAATGCTGCTGTGAAAGCTCTGAAAAATCTAATTTAATCTTGATTGGGATCGAGCGAGCGAGTGAGTGTTTGATCGGAGCAGAAAACAAAGGGACGGAAAGGGGGAGGAGAGGAGATTCTGGAACACTGCACACGCATGCCGAAACAATGAACATTGTGGGGATCAAACAATCTCACTCACCCAACTGGCGAATGATGAATGGTAGTAGTAGCACAGCAAGAATAGCATCAAAAATCCTCGAAAATAGGAGTCTAATTCCTACTCACCCACCCCTCCCCCCCCCTCCAAAAAAACTACATACACATACGAATGTAATATTTTCTACTACTCACTACCATACCACAGCACGTATTGGCTGAATAACCTTGCGCCCTGCGCTCAATACACAGTGTCCCCATTGCCTATCTCCCGTATATCCCCTACCTACAATGCCACTGTATACCTCGCCTATGTACCTACGCTCCACTACACCAGAAACTGAATTGAGAAAAGAAAGTATATGCATTCGCATGACCAGTCTAGAAATTTTCTTTGCCCCAGGAGAATTGGAAGCCTGCGCGTCATCACATTAGTTTGACATTCAAAGGTAGAGGGAGAAAGAAGACATACCGGGCTCCGTGTACATGTTACACTTAATATGCAATTGACTTCCCAACACTTTCGGCCCACAAAAGAAAACACCGGCCTCCGCCGGACTGTGGATCTTGCGGATGCTCTTGAACACCATGTCCCAGTTCGGTCTGCCGAAGTTGGTCGGCGCCCGCAGTCCCGTGATGGCGTCGCGGTCTGCGTTGGCATCGTTGATCATAATGTTTGTGGCGTCGTCGACCTTGATCTTGGCGGTTAGGTAGGTGTGGATCTCGATGTGGTTGTCCATGTCTTGGGCTTCGATGGCAAGGAGGAGGGAGCGGAACCATTCGAAGGAGCCGAAATCTCTGCAGATCCAGAAGAAGTAGACTTTGCTGAGGCGCGTCTTCTTTTGTGGGTAGTTCATTCGGTACCAGATGGATTTCAAGATTGATGCGAAGGGCGTGACACCGATACCTGCTCCCACTAGAACGGCGATCTCATACTTAAACACATCTTCAGATGCTGAACCGAATGGACCATCGATATATACGCGAGGAAGGACACGACGGATTGCTGGGTCGACACCATCTGCTGCAGGGCCATTCTTGTTGACGCTGACAACTTGTGAAGCATCCTTCTTGTCTCCTTTCGGTCTATCCAGCTCGCATCCAAGGACTCGTCCAACTGCTCTCGTGAAATCACCCTGCATTCTGATGTGGATGGAGATATAATCCTCCTCGGGTGCAGAGGTGAGGGTGAAAGGGTGATATTGCCAGACGGAGACCTCAGGACAGCAGAAAAAGATGTACTGTCCGGCTCTTGTCTTTGTGTTCTCCTTCTTGATCTGGATCTCGCAGACCATACTGGGATGTTGAACAACTTTCGAGATATAGGTCTTGTGCTTTCCTCGGATCTCTCGGGCAATTCTCTCCAACAGATAGATATACCCACCGTACATCCAATACTGCCAGAAGACTCCAATGGCTGTCGATCCAACGCTCACGCAGTATGGAGCAAAGTCGGGCTGAATCATACAGAAGGCTCCGTGGATCGACCAGAAAAAGAAGAATATGACGAACATGTGATGCGTGTACCAGAAGCGCTCGAAGTTAGCACGACGCATCTTCTCCACAGAAGTCACCACCATGCACATGAGTGCCACCAACATAATATAACCCGTCCATCCAGGACCCGTAACGAAGTTGGCCAATAAAAATCCACCAATTCCCAACCTGTTCTTCGCCGAAATCTGAGCAAAGTTGTTCCAATGCGCAATCGTATGCACCCAAGAAAAGAAAACGATGGACCACGCAGTGGTCATATGGAAAGTAATGTTCTTGTCGAACTGTATAATGCCATTGAGCGGCGTTTGTCGAGCCAAGGAAATGAGCGTCCTGCAGACCGGGAACAGAATCATGGCCACATCGAAATGTAGCACCAACGCCGCGGAACGTGCTATAGGGTACGTGAGGCCGAAGGTACTTCTCGCTATCGTCAAGTTGTCCTTGATCTGGTAATTCATGAAACCGAACGAGAAGACCATCAGATGGATGGCCGCGAAGACGAAGACGAAGCTATCCACACGTCAGCCTGCTGTTCTCTGGGGCACTTACGACGGGTACGCACAATCGTCGGTAACCCTCGTTCACCATCCACCTGTCGAACTTCTCGCGCATGTTTAACTCCTTCGGCCGTTCACCACTCATCTCCCCCGACATCAGCATCCGAGTCAACGGTGGCCATCTCGCCCGCTCCGACACCCTCACCGACCCTGTGCTATTCCGATCATAGCTCTTTTCCGACATCCTTCTAGCGGTGCGACGTCAAGTCGGCAGTCCAAGGCCTCGAATGCCTTTCCTCTCGTCTCAACCCTCCGTCCAGCGTCGTGTCCGCTTCCAATGAACTGTCAAGTCGTGGGTATATATTAAATCGGCGTGATCATTCAGAGCCTGCTGAAATGACAGACGCTTCCGAATGAATAGAATGGGATTAGTTGAAGCGAACGTCGTGCAGTGCTTGCGAAGAAGGAGTGTGGAGGGTGGAGAGCCTGCATTGAGACACGAGGGTTGGTCAGTCAGAGTAATAGACGGGAAGGGCGTTGCGTAGGTAGAAGAAGTAGGGCTAGGGGATCGACGACGAAATGGGTTTGATGAAGCAGGACGGAATTAGAAATGCGCAACTGAGTTTGGGAGTACGTACCTGTACACAATGCCTGCACCGGTGGCTGCTTCCCAGTTCAGCACAAGTAGTAGGAGAAATTTAATTAACTAAGGAGGTAGGTTTACGAATTGGTGACGTGCAGAACGGAGGAAGGAGATGCAGGAGGACGGGGAGGAAACGAAAGGGCTTGCCAAGAGGGCAATATGCAGAGAGCTTGGATGTCACACAGAGGAAGGTGAATGTCACGTTTATGCGGGTAGAGGGAGGAGTGGATATGCTGGAGCAGCAGCTTAGGAGATGGCCTGACTGGTGTGAGGACCAGCATTCGTAAGTGTCTGAGCATACTGGACAGACAGTTCCAGTCTCATGGGTACGAACACTGGCCCTGGACGCCTCTGCCGGCGAGAGCAGAGGTTCGAGGTCGAAACAAGGTAGCCGCCATGGATGCCTGGGCACTGTGGGCGGTGACTCGAGCAGCAAAGCCCGATCCTATGGGATAATGGGAAAGGTGTTCGTTGGTGGCCAAGGGGGCTCTTTGGCAGCTGCGGTGGTGGTGCAACGCGGAGAGCTTGACAAGATTCTCGAAGAGGTGTGTTTGGCCGGAAGTCCCACACTTCTGCTCGCAACGCGCCGCAGGATTGGTGCTTCACGACGCAGCGTTTGACCTTTGACTCTTCGCAGCTAGAAGCAGTCAACGCCGAGCAGTTGTGGAGCGGTTTTGCAGGTGTTGGCTGCTCTGCGCCAGTCTGTGCGGCAGTGCCAGATGTCAATGTTCAGGAGCGCCGCCGCCGATTGGCGCCGTGGCTGGCTCGCTTAGTTTCAACGCCTCTTCTGAGTTTCACACTGGGATGCTCCGACACGCCTCATTTCCGTCCGCGTGAAGGTGCAAGTTAGTCATGCAGGAATGCCGGGCTCGGAGTCCTCTTTTGCCTGCTGTCCAGCGTCCACGGGGAAAAGAAAAGCATCCTTATTTCCGCATTCGAGAATTCTTTTTGCCTTTTTGCAGGACCGTCTTGCAAAGTTGCAACCTTATTGGTGCTAGTGCCTTGGCGACCTCGATTAACATCCTGGCTGGCGATCGCAGCAAACAACTCCCCCCTATTCGTCCTGGACATGAAGTTTAAAACATGATCTTAAGTTTTCAAAATCGTGCATGAGCACCTTCTTTCACCTACACCCCACGCAGAATCTCATCCCCAAATCTCAGATCCAGCCGTGTGTCCCTCTAAAGATAGAAAACCGTGCCTCTCCTCCCAACCTCACTCGGAAGATAGCTTCCACTAGCAGCGTGATCGCCGTCGATACCAAACCTCATCACGCCATGCTGCGTACTCAAGTAAGATGTACCGCCCGTCCAAAACATACCCAAACATAAAAATAGGATCAACCTCTCCGATCCTCCATTAATGATCCTCCCACGATAATGACCCGACGAATGAAATGGTGTTTTGTTTCTGTATGATGTTCGTGAGAATGGTACGACTCGAGTACTATTTTTTGCTCGAACTTGCTGCCCACTGCCGAACAGACTGAGCGGCCACATCCCGACAACAAAACCGCTCGAAATGTTTCGACAAGCAGTTTTTGGTTTCGCCTCATCTCTCACGTTTGATTTTCCCACGGAACGAAGAAATACCCGGCACCGCAAATCAGCGTCTACATCTTCGTCCCATCTTCCGTAACCGTGTCCGGGCGTGAGCCCTATGTACACGTTGATTCACACCCAGAGGAATGTGGACAGGTCGAGGCGAGTTCATGGCGGGAGATGTTGCGCAAGTGCGGATAAGCCAATGAGCATATCGCGGCCAAAGCGCAGGACTGTTCAAAACAAGCATGCTCGATCCCCCCCACTTTATTTTCTGAAATGGAAACCAATCCGCTACATGCGGTGACGAGTCCACGCGTTTCAGAGTGGTACCCATTCTCGCGACCTAACTGGAGAGGAGGGGTCTTGACGCTGGATTGGGTCGGAGATTGTCGACCGCTCGATCGATGTGGAGTGCGGATAGGCTTGACTTTCCTCTTTAAAACTGAAGAAGGAGAGGGGTCTTATCGTTGATCGGCGCCCATCTAGATCTCTACCGATATTGACTCTTGAGGCTCTTGCGAAGACTTAGCATCACATGTTCTGGCCATCTTGCAGAAGTCAGATAACTTTTCCGCACCTTCTCTACAACCTTCTTTTGATGTCACGCTTGTGCTCCAAGCCACAAGGCTCTTGCGAGATCTTGAGCTATGTATCCTCATACCCATTACCCCCGTCAAGCCAGCCACCAAGAATAAAACGTGGACAGCAAGTGGTAGGGAAAATCTAAAGGAACAGCTCACTTTTGATTCTATTTTACTTCCACATCCAATTGGTAATTGAAAACTAACGTTGCGACCAAGGCAAGGCGTAGAGGACTAAGTATCTTCGTGTTGCCCACTTGACGCTCATTTCCGTCAAGCGAAGGAAGACCATGCGAGAATTCATACCTTTCCAATCACCACATAGAAAAGAGCACCCAACATGAAAAGCAGAAGACAAGGGTAATCAAATTGAGATCCATGCGAGAATACCGAGACTTACTTCATGAACATCCAGACGCATTTAGTTTCGGCACTGGCCAGAAAACTCACTAGGAGCTTCGTCAAAATTGGGATAGCCTCCCCACATGCACATTTCAAAGAACCACAAATCAATCATGTCACTAAGCTAAATGATGAAAAAGCTATTGAAGACACCGGGTTGCATTATCAATCAACCTGAATATCAAAGGGGGGGCTGGGGTAAATAAGAAGAACAAGCTGACTGCAGAATGCAAATGATCATCTATTCCCATCCACGCATGCTATCGGTTTCCTCCCCAATTCCGTTCTGTGTTCACTACCACTCAAGTCTCGCTCTCATCATCCACCATCCATTCTTCACTCATCAGCAGCAAACTGATCCATCCATACAAGCGTAAAAGAGCCCCCAGTCAAAGTGTCAAGACGCCAGCCAAATCCGTAACGCACGCAGGAGAGAGAAGAAGAAAATCCGCAAACCTCCCAAGCAAGTTAGATGGCATATTTACGTGTCCACTCTCTAGCGGTCGCCTCGTATCGGGAACGGTCGGTCTTGTAGACGTGTGCGATTTCGGGGACCAATGGGTCGTCGGGGTTGGGGTCGGTGAGCATGGAGCAAATGGACAACAGGACTGCGGATGTTAGCGCGTATTCCAAGAGGCAGGAGATTGTGGAAAATACCTTTTGAGATTGTCAATGCAGGGGACCATTGGTCACGGAGGATGTCTAAGCAGATGGAACCGTTGGAGTTGATGTTGGGGTGATAGATTCGAGTGGTGAAGTTGACCTTCGGTGGCTTGAATGGGTAGTCGGTAGGGAAGTGGATAGCTAAGAAGAAGACACCTCCCGAGTATGGCGAATCCGACTGATTGCAGAGGTCAGCCTTGCTACATCAGGCCATGTTTCGGAGGATTGAGCCTCGTCAAACCTGATGACGGGACTTCCCGCATTGGGCTGGGAGAACGAGATAAGATGGAACTTACGGGACCCATAATGGTAGCTTGCCAGTGGAACTATTCAAACCCACGCAGTCAGTATGTAATATTCCATACCTTCCTGAAGCCTGCCAGGTGGTCTCGTGCGCATCGGCACAGGTATGATGTTCTCGGATCGAGGCTGGCTCGAGGGGGACGTACCAAATCATCTCCGATAGGACCAGCAGAACACGACGACGGAGGGTCACTGTAGAGCAGAGGAAACATTAGCAGATGCTCTTGTCTATCTCTAGAGCCTGACGATGGAGTCTTTGATGGGTTTGGATGGGACCCCGCTTGTGCAGCAGCCCCACCACCAGCATGTTGAATTTGACGGTGGCGGTGTAATGGTGGTGATGTACGTACCGGCCCAGGTCTGTAAGTTCCTTGTTGATTCTCTTCAACGCCATCGCGAAGTTGTTGTGTGTGGTGAGGGTTTTGGGTCGGTAGTGTCGAGTCTTTGGGTAATCTCCAGGGCGCAGCAAACAGAATGAAGTTCTCTGGAAGAACGAGGTTAGCGACTAAACAGGCGAGGCGGCTATGCCGAAAAGATGACGCAGGAGTGCTGGAGGGAATACGACGTACGGGAGGACTTATGTGGGATCGTGAAGATGCTGGTGTTGGGAAAGGTGAGGAGGGCCTTTGGGAGTCGACGAAGGTAGGTGCAGTTGTTTTGTGCTTCCAGGTCAGAGGAGTTGTGGTGAATCAGGAATGGGCAGCAACAGCGCGGGAAGGCACCAAATGGGCTTAGCGCGAGGATGACTGGACTTGACAAACTCAGACTCAAACTTCTGCGTGCTCAGCCTCACGTCTGCGGTGTTCGATTAAATTCTTTCCAAAATATAAATTTTCTTATCTTCCTTCGGCTGCTCAAATGTTCGCCATCTGACTCGAGACCCCTGGAGCCCTCGAGTTGCTGTCTTTCAGACAATCGGATCTGATGACGTCTTCAGATCTCCGAACACGGCCGGCCATCTCCATTTTTTGGTAACCATAAATCCCGCGGGACGCCTCTCAGCCCCTTGCTCCAGGAGACATAAAGGTGAGGGAGGGCACACCGTGCCATGGATTTATCTGCAAATGATTTGGGAATAATGATAAATCTACTTCGAATATTTTACGTCGTTCGAATCTCCTCGATAGGAGAACGTTTCTTATTTGTTCGAGAATGGCCTCAGCCTCATATTTCAGTCGCCTGTATCGTTAGGAGTTGAAGGTTCCTAGATGAGTGAGGAGCAGGGTGGAGGTTTGACGCTTGGCAGCTGTCAACTCCCAACGGTTCAGGTCAAGTCACGAAGTCTCCGCCGTCCCAGGTTTCAGTTACCCAGAATGCCGCAAAATATCCCAGCTTTGACAATGAAATCAGATCTATCGTTTTCACGGCACGGGAATAAATTGAGGTGTATGGAGGACCTATTTACAATTGTTTTCCTATCCAAGTCACCAGGGCCGAGACCGTCTATACAAACGCCTGCAGACCCGTGATAGCTCTTCCGAGTATGAGACCTGCCTTTGTCAGCCTCACGTAACATTCCTCAAGGGGGCAGAGGTACTTACTGTGGATATCACTTTGCCCCTCGTAAGTCTGAGTCACGAACAGGTTTGCCACATGTCTGCCGATGCCGTACTCATCACTCACTGCATTTCCACCAAAGACTTCTTGCAGGACCCGTGAGTTGAAGAGGGCACGATCGCAGTTCTGTCTCTTGATCATGCTGATCATCTCTGGTGCAGCCTCGCCCTTGTCCTTTAGTCGTCCGACTTGAATTGCTGCCAGTGTGCCAAAGGCTGCATCTGTGGTGGCATCCGCAAGCTTCTTTTGTACCAGCTGGTACTTGGCAATGGGGTTGCCCTTGAACTGCTTTCTCTCCAAAGCGTAGGTTCTTGTTCTGGCGATGCAGTCCTCAAGAGCACCAATTGTTCCCCAAGCAATTCCATACCTGGCACTATTCAGGCATGTGAATGGGCCTCTCAACCCCTCGACATCCGGGAACATATTGGCTTCTGGTACAGGACACTCATCGAGATGGATCATGCCGGTAAGGGAAGCTCGAAGTCCATTCTTGTTCTTGATGGGTGGCGTTTCCAGAGTACCAGGTGGACATTCTGACCTCTCCACCAAGAAACCCCTAATCTTGCCCGTCTCATGGTATTTCGCCCATACCAACAAAACATCCGCAATTGGCGAGTTTGTAATCCAAGTCTTTGCCCCAGAGAGCGAGAGGTATCCTTTCTTCGTAGGATGTGGCTTAGCCGTAGTCTCCATTGAACCAGGGTCACTCCCATGATTCGGCTCTGTCAACCCAAAAGCACCCAACAGCTTCCCCTTCCCCATCTTGGACAAGAACTTGTCCTTCTGCTCTTGTGTCCCAAACTCATCAATGCCTCCCATAACCAAGCTGGACTGAACAGACATGCCTGACCGGTATCCGCTGTCCACTCTTTCCACAGCCTTTGTGATCAATCCAGACGCAACGTTCGATACGCCCGCACAATCGTATCCCTGGATCGTAGAACCTAGCAATCCCAACTCGCCCATCTCCTCTAGAATCTTCTTGTCATAATGCTCATCCCGGTACGCCTCTGCAAAACGTCCCGTCAGCCAGCCTTCCCCATTCCAGAGGCAGAACTTACGAAGAACTCGTGGTAACATGCGCTCCTGGCAATACGCCTCCGCCGTCTCTGAAATAGCCAATTCCTCCTCCGTTAACAGACTTCGTGCATTCAATGGGTCCTCCCAGTTGAATGGTTGCGGGGTAGCGTGGGCTGCATATCCTCTGACTGCTGCAGGACGAGCGGCACAGCTCAATTGCTTTGCAGACAGACGGAGTATGGGTCTGTACATCTTGTAGAGATGGAAAATGCCAATTGAAAAGAAACTATGGTCGAGCTGCCAAATGTCAAGCCATTCTTATAAGTTGGAGAGGTTGACTCTAGTCGACGCTAATCGGCAATTCCCCCAAGTATGTAAATTGTCGCCGAGACCTCCTACCTCGGGTCAGGAAGAGCGTGTTATGATTGGTAGTTGAAGACATTTTGGAGCGGAGTTGTAAAGGAATTCCAGCAATGATGAAGTTATAAATTTGTACTGAATCCTAAATGCAGGTGAAGAAGCTCTTGCTGGGAAAAAGAGTGAAGCGTGGGTTTCGCCTCCACGGTTGCACTCAACGTGGTCTCGCGAAGCAAGCGCGCTTGATCGCGTCACTCTCATTTGAACTTCCATCCCGCTTCATCAAAATCCACAACAAGACAGAGCGACAACCACCGCCAAGATGGGTATCAAGCAGCTCTTCCAAATCATCAAGGATGAATGTCCCGATGCTTACAAGGAGGGAGAAATCAAGAATCAGTTCGGCAGAAAGGTAGCCATTGTAAGTTCACCGGCGCATCCAAAGCACCACCATCAACTGACTCTGATATCCAGGATGCGTAAGAAAAAGAAGCCCGACTCTTCCCTACGGCATACTGATAACCTCCAGCTCTATGAGCATCTACAGCTTCCTCATTGCCGTCCGATCCGGTGGAGAAATGCTCACAAACGAAGACGGCGAAACAACCTCCCATCTGATGGGCATGTTCTATCGCACCCTCCGCATCGTCGACAATGGCATCAAGCCCGTCTACGTCTTCGACGGCGCCCCCCCAAAACTGAAATCCGGCGAACTTGCCAAGCGATTCCAACGCAAGGCCACAGCTACAGAAGGATTGGAGGAGGCGAAGGAGACTGGTACTGCTGAGGACGTTGAGAAATTCTCGCGACGAACAGTCAGGGTTACGAGGGAGCATAATGCAGAGTGTCAACGATTGTTGAAGCTTATGGGCGTCCCGTTTATCATTGCTCCGACGGAAGCTGAGGCGCAATGTGCGGTTTTGGCTAAAGCTGGAAAGGTTTATGCAGCGGCCAGTGAGGATATGGATACCTTGTGCTTCGACTCTCCCGTATTGCTTCGCCATCTTACATTCAGCGAGCAACGCAAGGAGCCCATCCAAGAAATCTTCACCGAGAAGGTCCTGTCCGGCCTGAACATGGACCGCAAGCAGGTAGGTCCCCTCTCCTTTCCCTCTTCCAAGCTAATATTTTAGTTCGTCGACCTCTGCATCCTCTTAGGCTGTGACTACCTCGACCCTGTCCCTAAAGTCGGCCCCCACACCGCCCTAAAGCTAATCCGCGAATACGGCACTCTCGAGAAGTTCGTCGAAGCCGTCGAAGCAGGAAAAACTAAGTTCCAAATCCCAGAAGATTGGCCTTACGTCGACGCTCGCGAACTCTTCTTCAACCCCGACGTCCGTCCCGCCGATCATGCAGACTGTGATTTCAAATGGGAAGCTCCCGACGTTGATGGACTTGTCCAGTTTCTTGTCACGGAGAAGGGATTCAGCGAGGACAGGGTTCGAAGCGGTGCTGCTAGATTGCAGAAGAACTTGAAATCCTCTCAACAGGCCAGATTGGAGGGATTCTTCAAGCCTGTTCCCAAGACGGAAGAGGAGATCAAGAATCTGAAGCGCAAGAATGAGGAGAAGAACGAGCAGAAGAAGAAGAAGGCTAAGGAGGAGAAAAAAGAGAAGCAGAAGGCTAAGGCCAAGCCGAGAGGCACTGCTTGATTGTCTGAGGATGAAGTGTATTTTATTGCATTTGGGGACGGAGCATATGGCTGGCATGGAGTTCATGGGCGTCTGAGATGGAAACGGTGCTAGGAAGACGAAATACTTGCTTAATGCGTTGCTTTACTTATGAGAACAAGAATCAAAACGATTTCCTCAATGTCTTGATCTACTCATGAATTCAAGATCAAGAAACCATTTCTTTTCAATGTCCATATTCTCTTTGCCTTCTTTTGTATGCTCTCAAAACAGGCTTTGCTCCAAGAGAAGTGAGCAACTTTAGGTTAGAGGGGCGTGTCTTATTGCACTTTAGCTTCACTCAGTATATGGTGCGGATATGGAGTTCAGGGGCATCTGAGATAGAGCCGGACGGAGGGTAAGACTCGACTTCTTTGAGTATCAACCCATCCTACAGTGTCCAACAGCGCTTGGGACATTCTACTAAGTAATGTTCAACGGCTGCTGGAACATCCCACTCGCGAGAACACCTGCAAGAAGTATGCCCAGTCCGGTATCTTAGGACAAGGTGTCACAAATGTTCGAGGTATTGATCCCTCAACTAAGTGGGGTAATGTCCAACAGCTCTTGGGGTATTCTACGCGCAATTTCCAACAGCTATAACATCCCCCCCACCAAAGGAAATACATACGATACGACGTTCCAGTTGCGAGCTTGAATTGAATTTCGAGTCAGGATCGTATAGTTAATTCTTCCATATCCCGTGGAACACTTGGATTGAATGCTCAAGAAGTCGAAAGGATGTTCTAAACAGGAAATGAAGGGTATCAGGACAGAATATGTGGTTCCTTTGATGAATTTCTTCACTCCCGAATTCAAGATCAATTTGATTTCTAGACTGATTTTCATTGTCCCCAGTCGAAGGTGGGCGATTATCTGGACTGAAGAGCATAGGACTGAATAAAACCAGGGATTCAGAGCTTTCTGTCGCATCAGTTTCATCTCAATTCAAGAAGTAGACTTTAAGGAGCGCTGTGGAATTGATCTACCGGTTTCGTCGGAAGCTCGACCGGACCCTGATCCGATGCAAACCTTGTCCCACCCTTTCGTCCCATATCCTTATGCTGAAACTGGTTTTAGAGATTCACAGCTTTTCGTCGCATCAAGAATTACAAAGTTTCATCTCAATTCAAGAAGCAGATTTTAAGGAACGCTGTGGAATTGATCTACCGGTTTCGTCGGAAGCTCGACCGGACCCCGATCCGATGCAAACCTTGTCCCACTCTCTTTCGTCGCATATCTTTATGCTGAAACAACAGAAGAGAAACGCCAAGTGCCGACCAGATCAATTAAGACCAACCACAAGACAGTGCCTAGATACATTGGGTGAAAAGGAAAGGAGAAAACAAGAGAACTGTAACGCCATTCATGCAAGGAAAGTAGTTACATGTAGCAGTCTTGAGGGAGGAAGACACACAAAATTTGAGAATAAAGGAGGTGATTGTTCCGTATTGTGAGACATTTAGGTTGCATGTTCAAGAAGTCGAAAGGACTAGGAAAGCATTATCCCCAGTCGAAAGCGGACGATAACATGGACTTATAAACATAGGATTCAAAATAAACTAGACTATGTGAGCTTTTCGTCGCGTTAAGGATTACGAGATTTTATTTTAAGTTGCGACGAAAAATTCAAGGAATGCTTTTATTATGCTGGGGAAAAACGGACGAAAACCGCCAAGTATCGAGCCGACCAATTAAGGCCAGCCGCACAACAATGCCTAGATACATTGGATGGAAAGAAAAGGAAAACAAGAGGAGAATAACGTCACGCGAGGAAAATAATTACATTCTGCAGTCTGGCACCTTCTGCTTTGGTACATCTGAGCCAGCTGCTACACCTCGGGACAACTCGCTGGTAGGAGCAAGACGAGTCAACACGAAAACTTCCCGTCCTCCCATACGTTGGACATACTGTTTCACTCGTCAGCCTTGAAATGGTAAGGAAAAGAAAGGGAAAGGAGGGAGGGAAGACATACCTCGCGGTAGAAATCGGTGAACATGTCGAGCCTTTCCTCGAGCTCTGACAGGTCAACCTGTTAAACTAGTGAGCATTCCTTCCTAAAATCCTTCTCGAGTTGAAGGATAAAACCCTCTACCTCGTGGAAGCCAGCTGGAGCTTGAGGAGGAACTTCACCTCTCGCGAGGCTTCGTCGTCTGATATCCTTGTACTCCCATGCATCCCGCTCAACCGGCGTCAAGGTATGATCCAGGATTTGCAGAAAACCTCCCCGGTGATCAGGCGAGGTTAGGGGGTTATCAGGCTGAGTTGGAAGGAAGGGAGACTCCTGAAGTTGTTCGGCGTTTGGAATTCGGCTGGGTCCGTTGATCATATACTGAATAGCCTCGGGGTCGAGTGGCATGGAGCGTCTGTGGATTGGCTGGCGTGGGGCAAAGCGAGAGTCCACACGATCGGGTCCATCGCAATCGACGTAGACATAAGGGTGAGTGCCGCTGATGACGTCGCCGTGGTAGCTCTTGGGGCGGGTCTCAACTGGGTCTGCTTGAAGTCGATTGCCAGCTTGAGAACGCTCGGCCGGGTGGAGACGATCAGCAGATTCAGGCTGGTGATGATGGTCAACAACTTGGAAGCGCTTGAAAGGTTGGCCGTGCTGGACAGGTTGACCGTGCTGGATAGGTTGACCGTGCTGGATAGGTTGACCGTGCTGGATAGGTTGACCGCGTTGAGCAGGTTGGCCACGTTGAGCAGGTTGACCACGTTGAGCGCCCGATGCGGTTGCATGGATGAGAGGGATACCATTGGAGCGAATTCTGGCAAACTCCCCCTTTTGGTTTTCCAAAACATCAGAGACAGTCGTCAATTGGTAAGGTGTCTTCGGCTCGACAGTCGGGGCGGTCTTGGCGGCTCTGTTTTTCTGTTAGTTAGGAGAAGACTGGAAAGATCGAACAGAGGAGCAGAGAGAGACTTACTCATTTTCATCCTTCTTCTTGGCCTGCTTAGCAGCTCTGCGGGAAAACATTGTTAGCTGTGATGCTTTGACTTCAATGATGTAATGATTGTGCAATGTATGCAGAGCGAAAAAAAAATCCGTGGATCGGGAGAATGAAAAGGCGAAGCGAAAAAGGAAAAGAAAGAACCTACAATGGTGCAGCGAGTTCGACGCCGTTCTCGGCCTTGAGATTTCCATTCACTCCCTCCTTCGTCGCCTTCTCCTCAGCTTTGGTCGTCTCCTTCTCGATCTTTGCCTTTTGCTTCTCGGTTTTGGCCTTCTCCTTCTTTGCCTGCTTTGCTTGTGCGCGAGCCGCCCTGGAAGCATGCCAGTCAGCCGATGAGAGTTCGTTTGAATGTAGTAGATAGATTAAACCCGAGGATAACTTACTTGATGGACTTCTTCTCAGCCTTGGCTTTCTCCTTCTTGGCTTGCTTTGCCTGTGCGTGGGCAGCCCTGGAAAGATGCAGGTCAGCCCACTGGACGTCGTTGAATGTAGAAGAGCAATGAAACACGAGGATAACTTACTTGGCGGACTCCTTCTCAACACGTTCCCTCTGGGTACGAAGTCTCTCCTCAGATATCTCGGCTTTGTAAGCTTCGCGGTCGACCTGTTCGTTCGGAACAGGCTCTCCGAAGAAGTTGTAGACGGCCTTCTTCACGGTGTGTGCAATGTTCTTCTTGACGTAATCATTGCGGATTTCAGTCTCGGCCATATCCTCCTTCGTTCGAATTGACGAAGGATGGATAAGGAAGGACATGTTGTCTTTAGCTCCGGAATACCGGTTTGATGTTGTTGCGATGTGGTCGGTGCGTCAGTGGTTGTGGTGTGAAGTAGACCCGGTGCTCGGTGGAAGAAAGAGCGACATTTATGTGTGATTTTAGCTCCGGAAGGTTCTTGCAGTCTGCTCTCGCTAAGCTGAAATCATAAGGCTAGTTTGGGGAGGGGGTGCTTAGACTCGGAATTTAGTCACGGAAGTGTGGTGGTGAATGTCAACAAGCTGCCCCTTTTTTAAGCGAGATTCACCAAAATTCTCGATGGGCTCACTTTTGCAAATCGCCTTCCATCAGGGATGTCACATGATGGTTTTGGGAAAGCAACAAAGAAACATACTTGCAGCGGCTAGGAAAATTGGCAGCTGTGTTTAATTTTCGAGGCCAAAGCCGGTCATTGATTCGGAGTTTATGCGTCGGGAGGGAGTTATATATTATAATTTTCGAAACATTTAGAGAAAGTAGTACACTTTGGATGTATAGTAATCCATGTTCAAATGCAGAGAAGAAGTTCTTGAAATGTCCAACTTGACCTTGGATATTGAAAATGAGTGCCGGGCCTTGGTTGTTCCCTGGTGAGTCCACCAGGGGACAGCCCCGAATCTATCCGTTCCATTTTTACGATTTGAGGATGGCATCCCAAGAACTAATGCAGATTGGGTGCTCACAGGGAGATATTTAACGGAGGGTAAACCTGATAGTGTTCTTCGATGTAGGTAGTTCGACATCATTGGCAACTTTTACCACACTTCAACGTGAAGGGAACGTGTGGATCAATGTGCAGGAAAGCTGTGTTCACGATGTGGAGAGATACCCTGGAGTCAAAGAGTAAGGCAATATGGAACTCTAGGTTTTGTTTAGGATAGGATGGCAAGCCTGAGAGGGCGGAGGACCAGGCCATATCCAATGGAGATTGATGACCGTGCCAGATTATTTCTCTGGCGGTTCCCAGCGAATTAGACGGGGAATTCCAAGATTGAGCTGGACAGAGGCCTGTGGAGTGCGGAATTTCGGAGCACGCTCGAGGATCAGAGCGACCCAATATTGGATAGATCGAACAAGTGTCTCGGCACGAGTCCACGATTAGATTCATCACAGAAGTGCTCAAGATTAAGGGATGTTCCATTCCTGTGCAGCAAACGGTAGCATAAAGATATGCAAATCGCCCTCTTTCTTCTGCACCACATCACATCTCTTCGTATCTAATTCTTGGTCTTGTGCTTGGTTTTATCGCGAAGGTAACACATCACTTCCTGATTCCTTTCGATAAGCTCATGATAGTCTGCAACTCCCCAGTCTGGTTAGCAGTTTTCTCCTGCTTTAGGATTGCTCGGTCAAAAAGCGTTCGTTGGCTAGAGGTAAGAAATCTCTCGTGCGTGGTTGCGCCGATATCGCGCTTCTCCAGTCCTCAACTCCCCTTCCACCATAACCCGCACACAGAATGAGTCTTCAGCCAATCAGTATGTTCCCCACCGCGGATACGCAACATGTCTCACATCTCCGCCATTGAAAAAGCGATGAAAATGACAGCAAGGCAGCCCGCGTACGAGATTGAGTGGGTGGTTGAAGATATCAAGAGAACCGCGAATTCGAGGCGAAGGCGACGACGGATTCGAATTTCTTGTAGGATGGAAAGATGGGACAACTAAATGAAGGGATACATAAATAGCTGCCGACGTCACGAGACCCTGAAGAAGTCGAAGCTTTCCGCAATAGTTTGCTCGAGAAGCCATCACCAGTGTCTCGGTTCCTCGAAGGATTTCCCCGAACTCGACAGTTATTTACTTGATTCTGAGATACGATGGTTTCGTGTGGATATCAAGTGGATCAAAACTCTTGGAAGGATTTGACGACTGCAAGGCGTGGAGACCCCTGCCACCGGGTATGAAGTCAAGATCGAAGAATAGACGGGGTTCAAATGCCACTGTTGCTGTTTACTTGCCTTTGCTGATAAAGACTCCGTGCTACTTCCTCCACTACCATCCCTGCAATGTAAGACGAGATGAACTTGCTACTCGAAACTAGACTTCAATGTTCCGTAAGATCGAGCGTTCAGATCTAGTGTTCCAGAGACAGGCGATTGGCCCGAAGAAGAAATAGAGACGTGCAATTTCGCTGCCAGAATCCAACTTTTAGCCTCCATCTCTCCTCCCAATAACCCACCTTCGAGGTCGAATGTGAACTCATCTAATAATCTACAAGGAAACGTTCAAGGAAACGCGAAGGTTTAGGACATTTTGAGCAAGGCATTTCAAACGTCGTGCACGGGTCCGGCATAGAGAATTCAACTTCGATTTGCAAAAGGATTTGGGAATGGGATCCAGGAGGAAAGTGAGTGGAATCTTTCTGCATTTATTGTGTATCTATCTATCTTTTCAAGAACTCCGCCATCCAAAGATGCCTCGGTTCCATTCCCATCCCATAGAAAGGAAATCATTATTTATTGTAGTTGCCCCTCTCCAAATCGGTCCCACTTCAATGATCCCACACGCATATGCCTCGGCCACCTACATAACAGTGCACCAACCACCGCCAGGCTTGCCTCTACCCAACTCGTGCTGAGGAACACGGAACCCCGGCTTATCAGCAAGCACGCCACGCTCAAGCTCCTTCTCCACACCACGCTTCTTCATCCCCTCATCCTTCCATCCTCCCTGAGGCCATAGAACCCACATCAACCAATCTTCTTCCTCGTCGTCCTTAGCTTCTTCCAAGCCCCTCTGATAATCAACCGCCATCTCCACCTTGCGCGACACCCGCTCAACCAACTTCTTAAACGTCTCGTGCTCGCTTCGCAGAAGGCGAACCTCTTCCTCAACAACGCTCTTCGACTCCTTGAAAGTAGCCAACTCATGCATCAATCTCTGGTTCTGGAGTGCAAGGGCAGTGAAATTCTTTTGCTCATGCTCGCGCGTCTCTTTCATCTGACCCATCATCTTTCCCATCATTTCCTTCATCTCGCTCGAAGCCTTAGTATTTTCCTTTTCGGCCCCGGCAGCATAAAGGTCGAAAAAGTTCAGTTGAGTGGCCAAGTTCGAGTTCGCGGTTTTGGCGGAAGCAACTTCTTGGCTGAGACCTTGAATAATTGTGCCGATCTCGTTGACCTTGGTGTCGAGAGTCTTGGTCTGGATGCGGATGTCGGTTACCCATTCGCCGATGAAGTTGTTCATCATGAGCAGACCTGCATCCATTACTGATCGAGGAGGTTCCTTGGTTGTGTCGAGACCATAGACTGCGGCGTGCAGATTGGTGATGGACGTATGGAGAGTTGCAACTGTCTTTGTGAGTTGGGCAAGGGTTGAGACTGTTGGGGCGGTTGGGGCTTTAATGTTGCGGAGTGTTTCCTTTGGATATTCGCCGAAGTTGAAGGATGGGATAGAGGGTGTAACAGGTGGTGTAGAGGTTGATGGCCGGGGCCTTGAGCCAAAGAATGGCGGTAGACGGATTGTTGCGGTGGTAGGCTCTGCGTTGCCGCCCTTATTTTCACCGTTGCAGGCTGGTTGGGGTGTGCTCAACTGATAAACCGATGTACCCACAAGTGTAGAGACGCCTCCTTCGGGGGGTGGTGGATGAGAAGGCATTGTTGTAGAGCCTCGAACCGCGGACGTAACTTGAACGGATGTTGGGCACTCCTCGCAAGGGGGTAAAGAACGAGAGGGCATTGCCGTGGAGTCAAATGGGATGAAATCGAAGTCAAACGCCTTGGATGGCGAAGTTGCGACCGGTTGGGCAAGGAGCGTTGGAGTAGCTTGAGCCGGGAACGAAGGTGGCGGAGGCTTTGCTGCAGTGATTGCTGATCTGAAAGTGTAGTTGAATGCGGTTGACGGAATGGCTGCAACTGGGATAGATTGAGCAGGTGTTGGTGTACCCTTAATCGGCGAGACGGGACCACGAGACTTCCTAGCGGTTGGAGAAGATGAGCCTGAGGTCTTTGGTCGCAGAGACTTTGCAGCGGGTATTGAAGGCGAGAAGTTGAGCTCGATCATCTTGGACGGGACAGTTGTCTCCGAAAAAGCTGGGAAAGTTAGTAGTTGAGTTACCTGGGGACGAACAGGCAACTTACATGGAGGAGGGGTGTTAGCGGCCTCCTCCGCCTCTAATCTCGTAATTTCGAGAGCATAATTCTCCAACGAAGCAATCAGTTCCTCAGTGACTTCAAATCGCTCTTCCTTGGAGTCGATCTTGGAAGGTGAGATATACTCCATGCTCTCGTTGCCGACGTCACTTCTCATATCATCGGTTTCCCCAACAGATCCATCAGACTCATTCGACTCGATACTCTTTAGCTCCTCTGCAAGACACTTTGCACCACACTTCTTCCGGCCAGCAACCATCTTCGCACCATTGCTCTCATCAACAGATGACTCGGACTCACTCGAGCAACCACTATCACTCTCATCTCCACCACTCTTCTGTTCACCCTTCTTCTCCTTCTTCTTTCTCTTTTCGTCATGAAACTTCCATATCCTGTTCCGAACTGCCTCCCAATCAACCACAACACGCTCATCCAGCTCTCCCAATCTCTCAATGCAAAGAGTCCACTGCCCACTTGGATATGCCTTCTCCCACGCCTTACACAGCCCCTCAATCTCCCTAACCTCCTTGCTCCAGACCCGGCTACCCTCCACCTCCATCATCAGTTTACAAACATAGTTATCATAAGCCTCCACAAACTCCTTGTTCCCAACAATCAGGCGCAAAACAAGCTCCCGATCGTTGTCCGTGAAACCCTCGCTAGGCTCAGCGAGCTTCTCGGCGGTGACTTTGATATTGAAAAGGGTCTCGTCGATGATTCTGGCGGCGGTCTTCTGGCCTTTGCGGCGCTTGCAGCTGAAGCAGATGAGAAGCGCCGTCTCGTTAGGGCTTGGGAAACGTGACCACTTGGGAGACCATGTCTTCAGTTCTGCGAGGAGCTCTGGGGACCTTTCAGTGAAGACTCTTGCCGAGGAGCGATTGTGCTTTGGTGTAGCCGGAACAGTGGTATTCTTTGTTGCTTCGGCGAGGACCGAGCTGCCATTACCCCGAGAGCCGGTGGTAGATGGAGTCGGGACATTGGAGCTGAGGTGCAGTCCTTCCAACCCCGGAGCAAGGCTCGTGGTCGAGGAAGGTGCGATGTTATACTTCAGACGGACCTCGTCCCTTCCCTTCATCGTGTGCGGCGGCGCCATTTAGCTCGTAATTGTGTTGTCGTGCGTGGTCGTGTTGTCATTCGTATGAAGTTGTATGTGTAGGAAGGAAGAAGTTCTTTTGTGGAAGGAAAGCAGGAAGTATTGAAGGGGTAGCTGGTGTGCTATTGTCGCTCCAATAATATGATGAGGGAATTTGCTTCCTATTGTGGTGTGGTGACGTCGTGGTATTGTATTCACTTTTCGTTGCGAAGTGAGGCGATTCCGGTTCACCCTTGCACACCAAATTTGGGCACTCGCGAGGCAGAATATCATAGCAGAGCAGAGTACGAGAGAAGCAAGAGGAAAGAGAGTCCAGTTCCAGGGCTTCAATTGATCATTCATTCCATTTTCATTTTTGGATGATAACATGCCTCACGGCTCGAAATTCTAGAATACAGTTCCTCTCATCCTCATGATCATCCGCCCTCTTCTCTCAACCCTCGCCCGCTCATCCATCATCCAAAATACCTATCTCTTCCCTCCCGACACAACATCATGTCTCTCTTGGTCAGTCAAGCCCAACCCAACCGTTCCATCTAAAATATCTACAAATCTCTCTTGACCAAACCAAAAGAGGAAACAAAACATAGGGAAAGCAGACAAAGGAGATTCGTGTGGAAGCCCCCTCATAGGGAGGATTCATGCGTTGTATTGCAATGGACAAGAAGAAAAGAAACCAAGGGAAGGACCGCTGATGTGACGTCTGAATGCAACCGAATCGAATCGCTGTATGAGAATGGTATCATGATGCTTCCTTCCCACAATGCCTTCTATGTTTACCTTCGCCGCGTCGTGTACTGCTCGTTTTCGAAAAGCCCCTTCGATCATGCGAAGACCGATTCGTCATCGTTCATCGGCGCTGGACTTGCTACCTTGGGTAGAGGTGGTAGCTCCTTGTCCAGACTGCTCCTGCTGATCGGTCGCCGCATCGATCCATGAACATTGGGACTGTAGTCCTTAGCTGGCGTTACTGGCCGATCGTCATTGTTATCTTTTGCCGGTGTTAACGGCCTCCTGTCACCATTTCTGTTTTCGTCGTTTTCATCACGTTCTCTGCTCGCGCCGCTGCGTCCGCCAGTGCTGCTCGCCTCACCCATCTCCTCAACCACTGGAAGCGTTTGTCCTTGTAGGCCACCTGATCGTTCTGCGCTGGGACTACGGATCGTGCTGATCAATCTTGGGTCAGGACGATCGGATTCGTGTTCGCCCCTCTTTTCGGACTTTAAAGCGTCGTTCTCGTTCCTTTGGACTGTTGAATTCGAGGTTCCGGAGGCTTTCATTTGTAGGCCCATTGAGTGCCCCCTTGCTGACTCGATGGATGTGGTGTTGCGATTGGAGACTGGAATTGAGTTGGCATGGGCAACTGCAGACGGTTCAGCGTTTTGTGCTTCCCGTGCCGCTTCCTCGGGACTTTTGGTGATGCCTTCGATGAACTGGATGAAACGTTCGCCATATGGATCTGGCGATATGGGTGAGATCAATCTCTTGTCGTAGTGGATGCCCTCTGTGAGATATTAGTATCTGTGAGAAAATAAAATCACACTACGTACTGAAAAAATGCTCAAGCTTCTTGAGTGTACCATAGTGAGTAAGGCAGTCTATGATAGAGAGAAAGAAGATCTGATCCCCCGGACTGTTATCCTTATGCGTGGCCCTGAATCCTCCATCATCGCTGTAGAAAGTAAAGTCTCGCTTTGCAGTATTTTCCTCAAGGTGGTCGGGCATCCTCGAACTGCTTTGGCCCATCGGGATCGGTTTCTCTTGCTTAATGATCTGTCGTAGTTCCCTGGCTTTCCTAGCATTCTCCAGTTTGCTTGGCGTCCTCATCAGCAGTGCTCTTCCATCGGGACCTCTCTCAATATCTTCCGTCGGGTTGTCTCCCCCTGGTTGGAAGACCCTCAGCGTCTTGTCGCGCAAATTCTCTTGGTTCCCTTTCTGAAGATCGTGTACCCCAACAAGCATGCTGTAATCCATAATTTTTAGCCTTTGAAGCAGATGCACATCCTTCTCCATCTGTTCAAAGAATATTCGCCTCTTTTCATTTCCAAACTCCAAGTGTAAACCTCGTCGTAACCAATTGAGGTCCTTCAGCGTCGCCCGAGGGTTCTTCTCGAGGTCCTCCTCCTTGAAATCTCGGCCGATTGTGGAGCCTTTCAAGTCGAATGTTTGATGGATGTCTCGGTGGGGAGGAAACAAGTTGTTCATGACCACGAAGTGTATCTTCCTACCGTAAGGCATCTTGACCCGATGCAGACCGTAAAACTGTGATAGGAGAGTGTTGGGGTTTTCTTCGACGTGTGCGTAGTACTCCTTTAGGATTTTTCGGAGGAATTTGTGCTCGGCGTGGTGGATCGTCTTGATGATATATTTATAGTCTCGAGAGAAGTAGAAGAAGCTGCCACTTTTCCCTGGTGACCCCAACTCCGAAAGTATGTATTTGGACGTCAAAGACATTAGGTAGTCTGCCGGGTCAAGCTTGAACTTCGCCCTCAGGTGTCGAAATACCCAGGGTGCGTAATCCTTGAACTTAAAGTCATATTTCGCAGAAGGGGTCAATTCGTTTCCAGTACTATTCCAAGTCAGCTCAAGTCTTCCTCGGGTCTAATTTGCCCTTACATATCAAAAGAGAATTTATGCCGAGCCTCGAAGTCTGCATCGGTCAGGGGTCTGTCCAACTTCGCATTTGTCCTCGATACGGTAAATCGAATGCCAGTCAACATGTTGTATGCTGTCACCCAATTAACATGATTCTGGTCAACTCTTGTCCCAACCACGACTCTCTCGTCGTCTTCCTCGTCCTTTCTTTTCCTTTTGCTGGCCCGTTTTTGTCGTACAGCTTCAGCCCAGCGCATGGCATCTTCATCTGGCGGTATCTCTTCGTGGGGCATGTTCGAATGTATTGATTGTGTATTTCGTCGATTGAGGCTCAAGGAGCCTCGCCTTACGCCTACTGCCAAAGTTGTTGGTGAAAATCTTCCTGTGCTGAACACAGCATCCTGGTCATCCCGGGAATTCCGAGTTGGGCCAACTTTTGGCACTTGTAGTGTATGCCTATGCTTCAATTGTGTGACTCCAGGGTGTTGTGCAGAGGTGGAGGACGGTGATGGTACAGGTGGGGCAGGATATGAAGGAGGTGATGAGAATCGATGGGGGGAGGCGGTTGCTGCGCGAGACGGTGATTCGGCTGGCAACGGAGTCGCAGGGAGAAGGGACGAGTTGTATGTCAACGGGCCAGTACTTTGTGGGTTCGTAGATATGGGCGGGGGGATTGTGACCTTTTTCGAAGGTTCACTGTCGCCATTTGTTGATGGCTTTGTTTCGATGGTTTCGTTCTGAACATATCCGTTTGTTGACGCGACTGAACTCCTATCTCCATTTGAAGTTCGAGGCAGCCCATTCTGCCCACCGCCCTGCTGTATAGGACTCCCCCTTTCATTGTCAACTACTCCATTCACCGCCCCATTCAGAGACAGCGCGCTGCCATTCCGCGATGACTTGTGGTCCCAGCTACCCACACTACCCCGTCCATTTGGCAGCGAATTGAGGCTTGCATCCTGGACCATATCGCCATTGACCTGCTGTCTGCCAGCACCTTCTCCGTCTATAAAACCATCGGATCCGTCCGCCAGATTGTCTTTTATAGACGTGTGCGAGGAAGTTCTGGCGTTCCCATTGCCTTTCTCGTAGGATTGGCGGAGGTGGCTTGGGAGCTCGAAGAGTGGGCGACTCGACGAGAGCATGGGTCCTGTGTCCTCAGCCATGAAGGATGGCATCTCTACAGCGTGTGGCATTCGACTGAGTGATGAAGGTATCACCACCTTATCGCACTGGTCGGTGCGGTGCTACCGCTGGTGAAAGGAGGTAGGATCTGCGAAGTTGGCTCCGTTCCTTGGCAATTCGTATCCCCTTGATGAAGTGGAGCCTCCCTTTGGTGCAACGAGAGGGGGAGATGCTTCAATCAAGTATATCGACATTGTTTTCGCACGGCAGTGTCATTGAGGATGGATTCACGGGGATCGTGCTTGCTGTAGATGGAGGTGGAGCTGTAAATGAGGATTACGAGAATAGGGCGCTCGGGAAAGCTGGTCAATAGCGGGACTGGGCAGCAGTAAGCAAACACCCTTCACCAAGCGCAGAGCGGCCCAATTACACGGCGGATGCTCTCGGAGCAGGTCAGTCGCATCTCTATATTAATTCTATATACCTCCAGCTGTCGCGCCCCGCTTCTGTGTTGTGTCCATCGATTCCGTGCTCCGGGCAATCATTTGCTGTGTGCGGCTACGCCACGTCAGGGAAAGCCGCCAACGTCACCAAGCCTCTCTTTGCGTCTTCACCTCAACTTCAACACTTCACTCCAACTCCAGGGTTGACACCAATATCAATGACGACTGCACATATCAAGGTGCACTTGAATTATGTATAGTGCTCAAAGGCGTTTGCTCTGCGATCAATAGCAGTTCAGGTCAACGACGTCGAGAACTCAAATAGCAAGGTATCGAGCGATATCATATCCAACACTGCACGTCATCTCTATCCGTTCTGCACAGGAATCTCTAATCAAATTTTCGTCCATGCTCCTTGTTGGCCAAGACGCATCCTTCAGAATAGAGGCATTGTTCTGAAGGACGCATGGATATTGTGTTAGGAAAAGTTCTCGCTGATACGACTTCACTCAGAACACTTCTTCGCCACTCCATTCGACCTCAAATTTGTTTTCCCAGTGCCAAATCAAAGACTGATGCAAAGAAATTGTTCGTGTGTACCTCCACAACATTAAAGGATGTAATTATGCGAATGTTTTGAAGTGTTCCGCGGAAATCTCGGTGCTTAAGGGAACCTTGTGCAACGGACACTGGTACCGGGGCCAAGCAATGAGGAAGATCAAATGAAGATGGAAAAGGGTATCTCATTCGCTGGAAGTCATGAGTATCGTGCATCTGGAGTGACAGAGATGTAAGATGCTTAAGCATCAACTTGACTTGGCATCGAAGCTTCCGTCTTAAACCATCTTCGGGAGATCTAGCTCTCAAGCAACTGAATCTTTGACGTCAATCAACTTGAGATCTACATTGCCATGCTCCATAGACTATTTCCCATGAACAACGGGACAGGAAAAGCTTTCTTCGATATCTATATTGATGGCTGATTTTTAGGCTAAAGTCTTCCGGGGCAAGAATTTGGTAGAATTGATTCACACCACGAGGTCGTGCTCAGCTTCACTGCACTCAATTATCCCCCCCCCTCGAGCCTCGCTCTGAGCAAGATCCCTACTCTCCGTAGTGGTTTCGAATATATGCTGTTGGTTGATTTCAACTCCGTTCATTTAAGTAAAACTCGAAAACATGGCGATCATTCCCGAGAAATCAGTTTTGATTGGCGTATGATTAAATCAGATGAATTTCTCTGTGCTGTGCCTTCTTCGCTGCCTTCATATATTGGACGAGCAAGTTATCCCCTATCTTAAGCGAGCAAGAATGTTGCCTTCACGGATCACTTACGGGTTTCTCGGTGATTTTACATCAGCCTGTTATACAGGAAGTATTTTCTCCGCAAGCGGAACAGCAATACTACCTGCATTATGCTTATGACTAATTACCCAACGAACCAATGGTAACCTCAACATTTCAGCAATATTGGGCAAGGGCGAGGAAAGAGATAGGATCCAAAATGTCGTCCGCTCGGCGGAGATAAGTCATGCCCGTTTTTTTTTGGCAACGGGAACACAAAAATAGACTCTCGAAACCTCCCCGTTTCCGCTCCGAGAATCCTCAAGCACCAAATTTGGTGGGGGCTTGTTCAGTCGTACCCCTCTAAATCTCACGATGTCTAGCTGCTAGGCATGACGAGAAGATTTTACTCTTTTCAACTTCAACTGTCAACTATAGAATTAAAACATATACATGATCTAGAAGTGGTCATCGATGATTGTCACGACCTTGCAAACACTCCAAAACTAAGCCAGAATATTTGACATTAAATGCGAAAGGAACGGTTACGGTTACCGTGAGCCTTGCTGGTTTCTCTTAAAAGGAACCGAGCGTTTCACAAAAGAGCAAAGTTGAGCCCGAAGCTGAGCCTTACTATCGCTTAAGCTTCCCCTATTAATAATTAGCGCAAATACCCATGCATTTTCTATAGTAGGGATTAGCTTCTTGTATATGCTCAACCTAAGATATAATAAATACTTATTTTACTAAAGGAACACCACTCCTCTCCTTTATTGCCCTCATCTATCCCCGGCCTCCTCCCAACGGCCCGCCAGGCATGCTCCTAGCATATGCTCGACCTTTATTACTAGGAAGCATATAAGTAAGTTAGACACACCTTGCTTTACCGTCGCTGTTGCCTTCAGCATATACTCAGCATATGCTAACCCTAACCTGTAGGGCTTTTACGCTCTAACATATCCCAATGCGGGGGGGGGGGTCGCCGCCCTCTAACCCCCGGGGCTAACACGAACCCTAACCCCTAAACCAAGCCCCCTCGCAAGCTCGGGGCTAATCCGAACCTTCCTAGCCCGTGCATATGCAGAGCATAAGGAGATAATATTCTGAACTATTGTAGGGATAGTTTAAGCGATCGTAGTGATCAGCTAAATAAGAAATAAACGAGCATATGCATAGTTTGATAGTAGGGAACTACTAAAACCTCAGCAAAGTTCTACCACGTCAGGTTGGCTTTTAGCTGCAAGCTATTCAACGGCGCAGAAGGTTTGCAGATTTCCCGGATACCGATTTCGGACCTATCGTAAACTACGTTCTCATCGTTTTCACCCGCAGGACCGAAGACTGAGTTTTCTCTAGGCTTTGGCAGCATCGGGCTATGCAAACCCCCTATGCCCAGACAATGACCCCCCTTCAGTTTCCGGTTGCGTGAAGTGCGTAGGACTCAGGCTGATAGATGACCTACGGATTTGATTCAATAATTATTAACGCATTACAATTCTCCGATCCACGGAAGAAATGTACCAGCTACTCACTACCTGGTCTACCATAGTTTCCGAGAAACTAAACCTCTGTAGACTTTACCCATGACACACACGAAAGACTCTAAACGAAAGCCTGCTATCTCGCCACAACTTAATGGACTTCTTCAGTCTGTGTCTTCACTTGGCGCTATAATCGGTGTACCTTTAGCTCCTTGAATCAGTCAAAAATTGGGCTGACGTTGGTCTATCATGGGTGGCTCAATTATGATAGTAATCTCAGCCGAATTTTTACCTCCCTTCCTTCCAGCGCCGTTAGTCACCATTGCCACTCTGCTCCCTCGCCTCACATTTTACTCGAGTTACTTAGTCACGTTCCTGCTCTCCCTTCCAGTGACTAATCATAATTTGCTTATTATTTGCTTCCGCCTCGCGAAATTATCAAGTCTACAAGATTATGTTTAAGGGGACCAAGCCGGCTTCTAGGAAGCCTAAACAGGATCCCCCAAATGTACATTGTTCAGAGGCAGCTTCTTCACACCAGTGCTCTGGGACCCTATTCGACTCTCAAGTCTCGTCATTTTCTGACATATTGTGGCCCCGCGTCTATCAAGAGCATTCCATTTTGCCCCTCTCTAATCGTTGAGTTCATTCCAAAGTCTCATGGATCTTTGGCTTGACGAATGTTAGCCCCAGCAGATCTGTAGCTGTTACAGAGAGACTTACAAATGAATACTTGATGCCATTGTAGAACGACCGCTGTAAAAGCTGCATTTGGTTCTCTTCATCTTCCGTGAGCTTCTCTATTCTTTCTATTAAGTCAAGCTCGTAATTGCCATGAGCACACTCCATAATTTTCAGCATGCAGACTTCGAAGAAGCGTGGGTAGAAGCCTGTGCAAAGAGACTAGTCAGCCTATTGATCTGCCTCGGGAGAAGAAATAAGGTGTATAAAACAAATAAAGAATTTCTTGTCAACCTACCAGCTGAAGACCAGTCGAGCAAAGAGGCCGATCCATCGGCCAACCAGACGAAATTCCGAGGCGCAAGGTCCAAATGACATAGTACCAATGGATAGCTCATAATACCTAACTTAGACTCGACGTCCGGTAGTCTGAAATTCAACCATTTCTCCATCTGCTGCATATTCTTAAACACCGGCTTTCCGTTTTCCTCCCAGAGAAGCCCAAGTGATATGCCCCCTTCCAGAGGGCCAGGGTGGTCGCCCTGTAGAGTCGAGAAATAGTGCAGTATTTGAGCAATCCGCTTAACTTGCTCGTTACTCGAGGTTTCGTCTTCCCCCAGGACCTTCCCACGGATGTATTCCATGACGATATACCCCGATTTAGGCCAACCCTGCCCATTGCTTTGGCTGAAATAGCGGTACACCTGCGGGACGCGAACGATTTTTCGATCGAGGAGCTCGAAAGCTCGTCTTTTGTTGCTGGCTTCTTCGGCTGTCACGTCCCAGCCGAACTTCACGACCGTGTCATCCGACAATCTAACTACATTTTTTGATGCGCCGACGAGTTGACGATGCGGGTCTGCGCAGTGTTGGACGATTTCCGAGTCACACAGGTCTTCGTTGTTAAGGGGGCTTAGTGTCATAATCTAGCCATTGGTGGGCGGCCCACTATTGTGAAGGAAGAGGGGTGAAGGCACATTGAGGCAGTTTGAAGTCGTCGTCATTCTTCTTAGTAATCACAGAAGGCATGGTAATTCTACGCCTTCCTCGAAAAATAAAATAATAACAAATTTGAGGAAAGGAGGGCTCATGAACTGGGTTGGGTGTCTAAAGCAGTAAGTGATCTGGAAAAGGACTCGCGGCTATGGCAGTTCCTGACTCCAGATTGCAGTGAACAATCGCTAATTTCATGTACGCTAGGCCAAGTTACAGTCTTGTTCTAGATTTCAACTGGACACCGTTGCACTGTCTCTGAGCTAAAGTATTTTCAGGTGGAATTGTGTTCCAATAATGTTTCGCGGTTTGAAGACCACCTGGCTGCTTCTCTGTTCTGCTTATAACTCTGCCTGCGCCCAGGCATGAATTCTAGTAAGTCTGCCTGTTGGTCCCGTTGTCAACCCAAGGTCGACAAGCGGTTTCAGAGCATGTACGGTCACAATATAACGACCTCGCGCTGGTTTTCAGGCGGAGCCGGCCCATACCAACCCCAAAGGCGGCGCCCGTGAGGCCCTGGCGCTAACCTGGGGAAGATCCTGACTAGGTCGCAATCGATAGGGTATCATCAAAGGCGTTGAGATGCAGCGCCATTATTGAGCGCTTAGAATTTGGTATTATACAAGACAACTCAAGTCAATGCCGGTTTGGGTATCGGGGCCATATCATTTGAATTGAAGTATTTAATGGCTTCCTTCTTCCCTACGAAGGCGACGGGCGAAAAAAAACCGTCCAAATCGCTTAAGCGAGAATTTGCGCAATCTTAGCCTTGCGATAAAAAATTTGTCGTAATTGTAACTTGAATTTAATTCCAGCAAAATTATTGTAAAAGATAGATCTGCTTCTTCTCTATTACACAAATTAAAAAGTAAAGAGTTTAGACGTTGTATTGAACCTTAGTGTGATTTTCCACAGGTAGCGATTTTGGTGTTCCTCGCGATTTGGCAGGTGGCCGGTTTTTTTCGCCCGTCGCCTTCGTACAGAATTTGGGCAAAGCTTTGATTTTTGGTGTCCCAGCTCCTTCCACATTTCAATCACTATCATTCAGATTCTACAATTGTGGAAGGTAAATCAACAAAACCCGGAACCAAGACCACTACGAATAGTGCTCTGCAACATTGGGATTATCGTATGGCTGGGGGTTTGACATTCAAAAATATCCGCGACTTAGTGCTCTCCTACGGTCGTAACCGGTATCGATTTTCCGGAGGATCCGGTTGCAGATATTGGTGGTAAGTACAAAACGCTTTAAATTTTGCAACAGCGGTCTAATGTACTCAAATAGTTATACCATAATAAATGATCTTGAGCAGCATAGATATATTCCCGAGGGAAGTTGTCAACTGTTATGGCCAAGTTTGCAATACCTTTATTCAAGGAGTCGGGACCCGAGTTCGATTGGTTGGGTTGAAGGGGAGTTCTATTAGCTCTTTGACCTGTACGTATGTGAACGAGGGATGTGCAAGGGGGGTTGGCAACTAGACAGTTGCTGATGTGACTCTCATCATGGGACTGGGAATAAATAAGCCTCAAACTTGGGGAATCATAAGAGATGGAACTCAAATCTTACGCTCTCCTGCTTCTCCGAGACATGTTCGGGCTGTGGTACAGGTGCGGGCGTGGACTGGACCTTGAACTCCGGTGCAGTTTGGATATTGTCAACTTCACAATCAATGCAGTGACATTCCTGCTTAGATTTTTTTACGAGAAGGTTCTAGGTGTATGAGAAAACTGCCGCTGCCATGGCTTCAACTGAAGGTATTCCAGCCATTTTGGAGGTATGAAGTTGAGATGGATGTCGATATATATTTCGAGAATGAATGGGATACATTTCAGAGGATCGTTTTATAGCAATTCCCCTCGTTGAACACGTTGGCATGTTTCTTTGGGAAGTGGCCGGATCCATCATTTCTATTTTGTGGTTCTCATCCGCGTCGTTGTCATAGTCGAACGTCCTTTCTAAGGAATCGTGCTTGCCGGTCCCGCCACCAAAATTGAGTATGTGCCGGGAATTGTGAAGAAATTGAGGATTTGAATTGAAATTAAACGAGTGACTTAGACTCTCATTTCAATACCCAAGAAAAACCGCTCTGAAAGCCCTCAAATGATCCACCTCTGCATCAGCCTTAACACCCTCCCAAAACGCCTCAATACGGTCCACCACCCACCCCTCCAACGGTCCCTTCTCAATCTCAATCAAAGCCTCCTCAAACTGCCTTGCACTACTCGCACCAATAATCATCTCATCGCCTAATTCCCCCTTCAACACAGAATGATACCTCACCCACCTGTACGCCAGACCAACTCTACTAACCCCACTCTCATTAACTAATTTCTCCCATTCTTTCAAAAACGCAAGATATGAAGGCTTGAAGAACAGAGTACGGTAGAACTTCCCGACTGGCATCTCGGGATCCCATTTCCCTCCCTTAGCGGGGGAAGTGAGTTCAGAGGCAGTGCGGGAGAGGAAACCGCCGGCCATGGGTGAGTAAGCTTGGATTGATATTCCGAGTTCTCGAAGCGTCGGAAAGAGAAGGGTTTCGTTAAGGCGGACGGCAGGACTGTAGGATGCTTGGTAGATGGTTGGGAGGATCAGATTGTGGACTTTGGCGTGGTTGTAGTATTCGAGGACTTGTTCTCGGGTGAAGTTTGAGAGGCCGAACTATTTAGGCATGTCAGGCAAGGGAAGAGTCATGAGACGAAAGTTCGGGGATTGTAACCTTTTCGAAGCGTCCTTCTTCATAGAGAGTTTGGATTGCAGAGTAGGTTTCTTCGACGGAAACCGTCTCATCGGGGCCATGGAGGAGGTAGAATGGAACCTAGGTGTGAAATTCATTAGTTTCCTGGCAGAGGAATGCTTGAAACTACGTACCTTCTCTGTTTTCAGAGCATCCCAGCTTTCTTTCGCCGCTGCGAAAATGTTCTCTCGCTTCCCTGCTCCGCGAGATGCGGTTGGCGATTTGGTAGTTACAGCAAACTCTGCTGCGAGGTTTTTATTTCCAAGAGTAGTTTCTGATGCACCCATTCCCTAGAGCATGCGCGTAAGTATTGCGGCAGTGTATACACTTGGAACAATCTTACATATGATCGGGCGGTGTCAAGTTTGGTGATTCCATGAGCACGAATGATCTGAAGGATTTCATCTTGGAATGCTTCACTTTCTGGGGTTGGTTCCCATGTGTGAGTCCCTGCTGCGAGAGCAACTTTTGGTGAGGTTATGTGTGTCATCTTTTGAATGCTTGAGAGATTGGAACTATGACAGATGTGATGTTCCAAGGAAGAAGGAGATTCACTTGACCTTATATAATTTTTGTCTATTCCTGGCAGAAGAAGAGTCGGACGAAAAATCACGGTGCTCCCCATCTAACGAATATCGGCGACCCTGTGTTTCAGCACTAGAGCATGATTGGAAATCGGCAGACACAGATGAAAAGACATCTGACTCTCTTCCAGGACTGTGCGAATAGGTACTATACCAAATCCAAGAATATCCTTAAATCCATGGCAGCATATACCTCCGCCCCGACGCAGAGGGTCGGGGTTATGCCTATCTAACCTTACATCTCATTGGTGCCAAATAAGCGAGGGCTTTTCAACTCTCGTAAGCGACCTGTATTTCTAAGCAAGCTCGGCCCACTGACCCTCTCAAATCTCACCGCAATAAGAGGAGGGTTTCCCCCGTATGCAAGAGTTTGTCGCCAATTTGTCGTCGGATTCATCAGCAACGGGGAGAATATCTGCCCACACTAGCAGTCGCATCCCCGTAATATACCCGAAAGATTGAAGGCTTCATTCATACGACAAACTCCAAGATGCCGTCTAACCGTCGCCAAGGACCTGATGCTTCGGATGCCCTTCAAAGCTCAATTAGCTCGAAGCGGGCGCGACCTGGGCGGCCGATGCTGCCAGATCCTCCAATTGAGGAAAGAGACGAAGCCTCTGTGGGTGTTCAACTCGGTTCTCATGCAAGAAACTGACTATCGTAGCTGCGGAAAGAGCGAATTAGGCTCTCTCAAAGATCCTATCGTAACAGGAAAGATGCAAAGCACACAGCTGTAATAGAGAGAGCCGATAGGCTTGAGCTCGCACTTGAGAAAACCGTGAGGTCCTTCACAAAATTTCAGGACCTTACAATGCAAGGGGATGATCTCCCGCCTAAAATTGCGCTGGCACTCAGTAGAACTGCGATTGAGATTGCGGGATATTCTCAAGCGGCGCGCTCCGAAGGAGGAGGAAAGATCAGCAAAGGAGACCGCGTAGATATGGCAGGAATTGCTGTGACATGCGGTCTAGAAGAAGAAACATACACGTACACACCTCCTTCAACGATTCTAGAGCCAGCCGCAAGCGGGAGTCAAGCGCTTAACTTCACGTCTTCCACAGACTCCCATTTTGCCGTACTAGCCGCCGAAAGCACTCCGATTTCATCGAATCGGGAGCAAACCCTGCGCGGAAGTCAAAAGCTTGATATAACCCCCACACATACTATAGTGTCAACGGAAACTCACCCCACAGCGTCCCCAATCCCGCAATTTACTGCCTTCAACTGGACACCCACATCTTCGACCTCAACCGTCCCCGCAACCTTTCACCATACAACTCCACCTCCCCAACAATACCCCACCACTATCCCCCGCCAACTCTTAGGCCCCCTCTTCCCCTGGACATCCACGCATACGAACCTCTCCTTCGCACAACGCCTCCGCCTCTCCTCCGTCGAACGCGGTCTTCAGCTCCTCTCCTCCCAGCACCCGGATCTACAGCGCGGTCTTTTCATCCACCTTAACAAGGAATCCATTCCTTTGATCCGAAAACTCACCGAGGAGACCCTAATGCGTCTCCCATCTATAACTTCCTGTGGTCCGGCGCCCCCGACTGTGTTGAGGCTTCCCGAGATGTACCGTGCGGTCGAAGGTGCAAGATTTTTTGATGAGGGTTTTAATGGGGAGACAAGGCAAATAGTAGAGAGGAGCGTCAGTGACGATCTGGCCAGGTTGGTGTACGGGAGGACAAGGACCTGGGTCGTTACAGATGTGAGGGGGTTTGAGGGTGAGTGGCTGGAGCCGATTGACGTGCAGGAGTATTTGGAGCAGAAAGGGGTCTGGCTTGGGAGGAGTGAGGGCGTCGTGGAGGTTTGTGCGCCTGAGGACATTTGGAGTCCGTTCCAAAATCTGCATTCGCAGGTCCCGGCGTTTGCACAGTCTTCGATGGCGGATTATCCGGCTATGGAAAGTTTTGCCGCTCCTACTGTGGAAGGGTTGAATACTAGTAATCCAGATTGGGCTCTATGGGAGGGTTTTGATATTGAAAATCCGAGGGCGGCGCCAGGGCTGGGTGGTTATGTGCCTGCGAGCGAGATATATGCAGCTGGCGAAGCTGCCTCAACCATCGTCTCGACGACAATAAACATCACACGGTTGATCGAGACGCTTGCCATGAGCGCAGTGTGTATCGGGCCTGGACCTGGAAACAAGAAAGCGGATGTGGACCAAGCGTTAAGAGTTGCTATTTCTGGGTTCTGAAGTACTCACTAATTTCCTCACTTTAATAGCGATTCCATCGCCTTAATTGCGCACAAACACTGGGCAGATATGACATCATTTGATGTGTTCCAGGCAAATCATGAATAGGGACCACTCATGAATTAGGACCCGCCATTCATGAGTAGCCTGCTGCTTAATCAGGCTTGGCAATGATACCTAATTTCGGGTATTGATCCGTATTGATACCAGAACCGTAAGGTATCAATCCTATCGATTCTGGAATCGATTCTAAGCGAGAGTTGCGGACCCCCCTATCTAACCCCTTTAACTACGGTTCTTATTATACTTATTACCTTTAATTGAAAAAGCAAGTATAGGCTTATAATTAGGAATATCACTTTAATAATTTTAAATACTTTTATAATTTTTTAAGGACTTTAAAAAAGTTGACTTTTTTGGTGTTCCTTACCCCTCGCAAGGTGTCCAACCCCTCTTGTGAAGTATAAATTCGAAAGGGGGTTCCAAGAAGTCAAGAGCACCCGCTGCAAGGCGGTGAGACGTTTGGGCCAATCAATACTATAGGATGTTGGCCTTAGCCCCACAAATTACCACTTTTAGCGCTGGCAGAACCAGGGGGGGGAGGGGGGGAGGGGGTGCTCTTGACTTCGTAAGGTACGGAAGTACTTAGCAGATTTCTCGTTTAGGATCAATACCGGATCAATACGGATCGATCCTACCAATACTAAGTGATACTAGGGGGTATTGATACTGGTATTGATACCTCAGGTATCATTGCCAAGCCTATGCTGAATGTGAGCAGCCCAATGGAAATACCCTGAATGGCGGGGGCTGATTCGTGAATAGCGCCTCGTAACTTATGGCTTTCCGTGGCTGTCCTTTGCAACCACTATGCCAAGCTCCCAATCAGGTCTCACTTTGGCGCTGGATTCTCGTCAGGCTGACAGCACTGCCACAATGTGGGCAGACAACACATCGAGGATCCATATATGATGCTCTGCGGATCTCCCGCAAAGCACGACAATCTCTCCATACCTGGTTCATTCGAAGACGTACCTCGAAACCCGATATGATCTCTTTCTAGATCCTAAACAATTAGCTGAGGCTTGACCTTGGCTTGAGATGTCGTTCAGCTTCTCGGTAGGCGACTTCGTCGCCTGCCTCTCCCTCATCAAGGACATTTCAGATGCTCTGAATAATTCAACTGGCTCGGAAGCAGATTTCAAAGCTTTATTTGCAACTCTCAAATCCCTCGAGAACGCGTTCAAGATCTGCCAGCTTGTATACCAGCAGTGCGAAGAGCCTCATGTTGAGGCTGAAGTACAGATACAGGCCGGAACAATCCGCCAAGCGCTCCTCGACGAGCACCAAAGGTGCAGAAACATCCTGGAGGCGTTTGTTGGTTCTCTCAGTTCTTATACGGCTGCGTTCGTTGACGACAGAAGTAAGGCTATAGCTCTTGCTCGTCACATGCGCAAGATCACGTGGCATTCACGAAAAGCAGATGTGGCGAACCTGGAGAGGAACCTGAGAGGACACCTGAGCTCATTACAAATGTACGCTGCGGCACTTTGCCAATTGTATCTTACGGCAAATACAAAGATGGTGACATCTACCGAGTCGAAGGTAGATTCAATTCTTTCTAATATGACTGACCTCCGAGCCGAAGTGACGACAATGTTTTCTGGAGTCCAGATTAGCAAGTCTCAGCGTCTAGGGGGCATTGGAAACATATGGGAAGGGGCTTCGAGTCAGTTGGACATTGTCATCCTTAACGACGCCATCGGTCGGACTGTCCCACTTCCAATAATGCTGCTTAGTTCTCGCACAGTGAGTGATGGACGCAAATTCCAAGCCGTCACAGACTAATAAGTCTCAAATAGGCTCTTCATAATATGGTTCTCTGGATGTTCCATGACCGAGACGTCCCTGGAAGAGCAAAGGTGCGGAGAAAGGAGTACACTATTACGGATGAAGACACCGATGGTATTTTGATTGAGGAGGCCAATTGGGACATGATTTATCACCCAGGAAAGCATTTATCGCTTAATATGGTCTTCCCAGCTTTGCCTTCCTGGAACGTTCATCGATGTCCACGGTGTGATCGGCCGGCAATAGGAAAGGCACGTCCCGGTGAACGAAGACATTGGTAAGAGCACCCCTTGAAGATTCGCGTACACCTTCCTGTATCAAAATATCCCCCAAAAGTTCATACATTCCGAAATCTCTGGTTCAAGGCTGAGATTTTGAAAGTACAACATTTCGGGGAACTTTTGAATTGTGAGCCTTGATGAATGTACTTCTTCTACATTGACATTGTCTGGAACTATGTTGTGCGCAGAGTAATGGCAGCAACTCTTACAGTCAATTCAACCTAGAAACTTTCGTTTCATTGCTGACTCTCGGAAGCGCCATGTGCCAGCTTAGCTTTGCTATGTTCGATAGAGAAAGAGTGGTCGAGGAAATTCCGGATGCAAAACCTGACGCGATTTCGGATGCCGTTTCGGAGGATGTCATGGGAGAGGCAAATTCCATCCAACAAAAGAACCGCAAAACTGCAAAAGACACCCTCCAACGTGACAAAAAGTCAAAAAAGGACAGAGAAGAGCATTTTCTATTCCGGAACATACATTATCATCGCGAGATCCTGGTCCCGAAGCCTTTATCTGCCCCAGACAGTTCTGCCGAAGAGACACATCGCAAATTTGGAATCGACGAACTTCCTCCACTTCACCAGGCGGCGGCAAAAGCCTCGTTGAAAGTGATTGCCGATCTCCTGGAGAAGGGCATGGATGTGAATGAGAAGATACCATTCTGCATGCAAGACGAAGAACATTTCGAGTTCCATGGTGCATCTCCATTGCTGATAGCAGCTTGGTTTGGGAAGAGCAAAGCTATCGACCTCTTGTTAGAGCATGGTGCAAATATAAACTCTCTGGGCTCTGGAAACACTGGGATTCTACTGTATGCGATGTGTGGTCCATGCCAGGGACGAATTGTGATGCCACTATTATCGTACGGTGCTGATCCCAACATCAGAAACCGGTGGGGCGACCTTCCTCTTCATGTTGCTGCTAAACGAGGCATATCTTTGTTGATTCACCCATTAGTCGAAGCTGGAAATGACCTCAATGACCGAAACAGTTTTGGGTCAACAGCTCTTGAAAGGGCTTCAAGGTATGGTCATGAACAAGCCGTACAGGCGCTGCTAGACCTCGGTGCCGATACTACGATCTGTGAAGATAGTTACCAATGGAATCCACTCCATAGTGCATCGCACAATGGATCCGAGGCAGTGGTTGATATGCTACTTCAAGAAGCACCAAATTTGATGGCCCCTGACGTGGATGGGGACACGGCACTTCACTTAGCAGCTCTGGAGAATCGTGTTGGAGCAGCAAAACTACTATTGGCAAGTGGAGCAGATGCCACGGCCAAAAACAAGGATAGGGTGACGCCGCTCCACCATGCTTCAACAACCGGAGGCTTTGAAATTGCGAAATTGCTTATTGAGAACGGAGCCGACGTTTTAGCCTCATGCGTAGCGGGCGAAAGTCCTCTTGACAGAGCAGCACGGGGAGGTCACGACAAGATTGTGTTGTTGCTGCTCGACCACGGTGCAGACGTCAATTCTTTAGATAAGCTGCTATATTCACCTCTCCACAGCGCGTCATTAAATGGACACGATACCACCGTAAGGCTACTTCTTCAACACAGCGTAAATCCATGCCTTGCCAATATCTGGGGAGCAACGGCGTTTCTCTTGGCAATTCTTTATGGTCATGAGAGTATTGCAAAATGCCTGCTCGACTTCAATACAGCAGTCATTACTATACCCGATAAGGAAGGATACAGTCCTCTCCACTCCGCTGCATATTCTGGATCGGACTTGCTGGTGAGGCTGCTGCTTGATGCTGGGCTCGATATCGAGGCACTTCCTACACCACCCACTGATTCCGAGTATATCTGTGGTTCTCCTCTAGTATTGGCTTCCAGGAATGGCAAGACAACAACAGCCAAAGAACTTTTGGATCATGGCGCCAACATCGATGCGCACTGCACCCGAACACAAAGATCCTCTCTTCATGCGGCTGTGCAATCTGATCACGCGAGTACTGTGAAGCTCTTGGTTGAACGTGGCGCAAACATCGAATATCGGGACGTCAATGAACGGACGCCACTCATCTCCGGGTCGATTCATGGCAGCAAATCCATTGAAAATCTCCTTGATGCAGGGGTAGATATTAATGCATTTGATAAGGACGGTGGCACTGCATTGCATTGGGCCGGTCATAATGGGCATGAAACAGTTGTTAAACAACTTTTGGCCTCAGGGGCACAACATCGGAAGGACAACAATGACCGGCTCCCATTGCACGATGCTGTGAATGGCGCTAGTAGCGAGCCTATTGTACAGCTATTACTTCAACATTTCCCTGACTCGGTGAACGCAAAGGACATGGATGGAACAACTCCACTTCACTACGCAGCCATCAGAGGAAATCTGCCTCTTGTGAATTTGCTACTCAAGAATGGGGCGGATATGGAAACAGAGAACGATGAAGGCGAAATTCCTTTGGGCTATGCTGTTTACAATGCTAGCGAGCCTATCGTTCAACTCCTTCTTCAACAGAGCCCCCACACAATAAAGGCTCGAGCCAATGATGGGGAGACTCTGCTCCACTGTGCGGTGAGAAAGGGACATCTGTCTATTATGAAACTACTTCTCTTGGCTGAGCCAACCCTTCTGGAGGCAAAAAATAATACTGGCAGGACAGTATTATTTCTTGCAGTTTTCATGGGCGAGAAGGAGATTGTTGAATTCTTACTACAGCACGACTGCCAACTAACACTGAAAGAGATGGATGGGGGAGCACCATGGGACTTTGTGGATGCAAAAGATCCTACGTCGGAGGTCATAAATTTACTTGTCACATATGGGTGGGATATGGATGAACGATACTACGAAGGGCGCACCGCCTTTCATGCGGCAGTAATCATCGGGAATGAAGAGGCAGCACGGTCTTTGATCGGTCATGGTTGCAACATCGATATTGCAGATGATGATGGAGATACCCCACTCGACACCGCTATCATGATGGGAAAGGTCAACATGCAAACCTTGATCCGAGAGGCCTTGGAAGCGTGAAAATCAATATCTTTAGGATCAACTATATCTGACCTAAGACCAACCAAAATTGGCACTTTCAAAACAAAGATCCTTGACTATTGTTGATTCACTCGAAAACGGTCCGCCGCTCGAAATTCATCTCCAAACGTTACCTTGAGCATGTCCATATAATCAGTGATGGCAAGCCAACGAGAAGTGATAAATTGCCCCAGGAAAAGGGTCAGGATACGAAGCTTTACATCGTGAGTTGGCTTTCTTCCAAGTGAAGACTTAGTTGAACTGACATATGAAGGACGCATTGAATTTTAAGGCATTATAACTTATTTTCATAAGCTCTAATTTATGATCCTTTCAGGTCTCACTTCCCCCACTTGATTGTGATTCGGAGGCGATACGAACATGACTCACACGGCTGCGAAGCAGACATTTTTACTCAGTCGCCCTAGATCCAACCACTTTAAGCAAGAATGCCAGTCGTGTCATGGAGCTGAACCGCACTCTTGACGACGCCCTCCCCATCCTCGGCCGACACGCCAATACATTCCCTACTGCTTCAAACTCTAGTGTGTGATCTAATGGTCATGCCGTGGGTGCTGGGAGCCGAAGCCCTGGCTGCTGCACTTCCCTGTCTTAGTAGGGCTAACTCTTGCTGCCTCTTGTCTCTATCGTACTTTTCCTTTTCGATTTTCATCGCCCGCAGAAGACCAAATCAGCCAGCAGCAGTGTCGAGGACGCCTATGACCAGCATTGCGAGATCGGTACCGCAACCGACCCAACCCAACCCACTCAGCTGCGAACAGAAATACGAATCTAGAGAGCAATGAAAACAGTTGAGAGCGCGTTTGAGGTCATGGAGGGAGACGGAACAGAGGTGGGTATACACGCGGCATTGCAACGCATCTGCGGAGTTCACCGGGCCGCGCGCCTTGCGCTACGAATGGAAGCACACCAAGCACTACAAATGGAAGCAATACGAACGAAAGAAGTTGCTCATCGTAATCGACCCCGAGCCTCATCCTTCTGGAGATTGCTTGGAAGATAAAAAAGCAAAAGTTCAGCATGCCTTAAGGTGTGGCTAAAAGTTCGATCCCACCATGTGATGCATGAGAAAAGCCTGGAAAATTTGCAATCACACTCCGGGAGGTATGGCCTCAACTCAGGCCTGAATCAGCATCCACTGCTCATTACTGAAAGAGCTCTGTCTAATTGCATCCCCCTATCCTCTGGGGTCTGCGCCTCCGGGCACGACACCGACGGTGGACTGAACAGCGATTCCAGTTACCTTCCAACTTCCAACCCTGGATTTCAGACTGCAAATATGACTCGAAATCCTTTTCTGCTGCGCAAACTTGGACTGTAGAGCCACTGGCCGCCTGTCACGCAGGCACAAGACAAGATAATTAATGCTAGATATCCATGGATCTGTGCCTCCTCTACTTTCCATCCAGAGCCTGCCTGCCGCGGCAAAACACCGAGCGTGCACTACACGGCGACCCCAGTCACCCACTCGAGTCCTAGCCTTCGTCACCTGACCGCACTCAGCATTCCACGGCCGGCCCAGAATCCTCACTCGCTGGATGGATATGCTTGAACGGAAGACGCTGGCCTCATCAAGAGTACGCGCAAGCAAGAAAGCATCTGCAATCGAAGAAGCCAAGCCCTTCGAAGACGAGAAATGAATAAACGCGTGCTGCAAAACGGGTTGGAGCGACCAGCATGTGTGTTGGATGGCACGAAGAAGGCGAATGAGTCATAGGTTTGCCAACCTCGAGAACTTCTAGCAAGAAAGCGTGGTCTTCAATTGACGGCATTCGATAAAGCCACCATTGACGTGTGAGAGCATGTCGGAGGTGCAGATGCGAAAACGCCGAGAGTTTCGGCAAGGGCCATTTTTCCCGGCTTCCCCTCGCGCGTTCTCGGGATCTCCACGGCGCCTTCTCGGCTCGGCAGGAAGAATCCGCCCCCCTAGCGCTTTCCGCATTGGGAATCGAATCACAACAAACCCCCTCATCAAAACGCGCTCATGTGCATCCTCACCCCGAAACGCCTTACGCCACCGGTGAAAAAGGGGGGTGCTTTCGGCGATACTTCACGATGAGAACAGAATATAGAAGTTTCAAAGTTTTGGTGTCATTGATGATGCGATGTGGTATAAGTACAGCCAGCCGTCATGCACGCCCTTTTCATCCCCAGAGCGCGTGCTCCGTCTGCTCGTACCCCGCAGCAAGCCGGAGCCAATCCATCCATCCCCACGCATCCAGGCATCATCATAAAAGCTCTCGCAAGGAACGGCGATCCCATAAATCCAAGGCGAGAGCAGTTTGTAATAACGACACAAGACCAAACAAGTCAAAAATCAAACCCGCGTGAAAGTTTCTGTAGCCCCCCGAGTTTCACATTCCCGTCCGCAACGCCAGAGTACCATATGAACAAGTTGAAAGAGTAAAAGGTGACCGGAGGAAAAGGCTTATGCTGATGCAGCGGCCTTCTTCGGTGTCGCCTTCTTCTTGGGCGCCGCGGCCTTCGCCTTCTTAGGTGTGGGCTTTGATGTGGTCTTGGTGACACGTCCGGACTTGGTCTTGCCTAGGACGGCGGGCTTGTCGACGACAGCTGGGGCCTGAAGATTGTTAGACGCGATAAACCCATGAAGGACATGGTGACTTACAGTCTTTGGTGCAGCAGCCTTCTTTGGCTTGGGCGCAGCCTTGGGCTTAGCAGCAGCTTTTGGCTTCGCAACCTTGGCAGCCTTGGGCTTTGCAGCTGCGGGCTTCTTTGTGGTTGCGGCCTTCTTCGCGACGGGCTTCTTCTCGGTGGTCTTCTTCTCAGCCTTGGGCTTCTCGGACTTGGGCTTAGCGGCTGCGGGCTCCTTCTTGGCGAGCTTGGTTCCTCCGGAGCTTCCTGCGAGATTGTTAGGCGTGACACTCCAGGAGAGGTGGCAGGCACGTACCCTTTGGTTGGGCGAAGACACCCTTCTCGACACCAGACTTGAGAGCGCGGTTGAACAGCGAGTCGAACATAGAGTCGGATGCGGAGATCTTGTTGTTGGCCTTGACATACTTCTTGAGGGCGATGCGGCTGTGCAGAAGTCAGCGGTGATCGATAAATGACGCGTCAAATGAGCTCGATGACTCAAGCGCGCGAAGGGGGAGAAGTCGTACCTTGATCCGTTGCGATCCTTCAAAGTGATGATGGCATCGCTGATCATGTCTGCAAGAACGCGTCAGTCCACGCTCCAATCCAAAATCCAAAGCTCTCCGCAGCTGCACACGATGTACGCGACCAAGGAAAACTATGCACGATCGCATGGCGAGGCGGTGTTGGGGAGACTCGAGCTTACCTTGGTAGCTGGCGTGGTCCGAGGAAGCGGCCTTGGCCTTGGGTGCTGCGGCTTTGGGAGGCATTTTGATGAATTGATGTAATGTATTGAATGAATACGACGATGGATGAGTCTCGATTGAAGATGAGCTTCAAAGACGAAGAGTTATCGCAGTGGTGGGTGAAAAATGGCTGGTTGTTGTGTTGGGGGGGGAAGACAGAAAAGGTCGAAAGCCGTGTCTTGGTGGGCGGGGGTCTCTGTTTATAGTAGCGAGGGGAGGGCGCGGTGATCTGGGTTGCCTGTCGGGCGCCCAGGGCGACTAGTCCTCATTGGGCCTCGATTAGCGTAATTTCGAAAGAGGATTTTCTGAATCACAAACGAGCGCAACGGCCAGCGCAATTTGATTGGCTGCAATTGAGTAAGAAACGCAAGAGAACAACATCCCTGATCACACGACCTCGATCTGCCACACCAGCCCATCTGCCTCCTCTTGCCTTCTCCCACACGCCAATGCATGACAACACATTCTCTCTGCTGCCTTGTGTAGAACGATTCACGCTCTTCCCGTCCATCAAAAGATCTTTTTCAATTGATTCCCCGAAGCCTGATTTGCCTCGAATTTGTTGCACGATATAAACCCGATCCGAACTCGAGATCGCCCATTTTGAAAAGACACCTAGATGCGATATTGAGAGATGTGAAACCGCACGCTCTTTCGATTAGCCCAACTTTATCTAGAATTGAAGTTTTCAATCGCCCCATCATGTCTACCAAGCAAGAAGTTTCCCTCTTCAAAGTTGCGTGAGCAAGTGCGTCGAGAAGTGCGGTGGTCGAATCTCGCGATTTGAAGCCATCGCGATTTTTGCACCGTCAACAATGAACCATCAAACTCCATCAACCACCACATTTTATTTTACTCCCGATAGTTTTCAGATGCCTTATGATTGAATCTCTTTGCGTCCATGTGTTCAGAATATTATTATTCGATCAGCGTGGAAAGTTCTCGAGTTCTCCAGAAAAGCCGTCTTTTGAGGTCGCGCGATTTTTTGCGACCGACGGGCGAACCATCAACACCAAGGCTCTGAAATCTCGTCCCCCAGCCTAGAATCCCACGCCAAATCCTCATTTTCATGCCGTTTTCTTCTGCCGATAGTTTGGACTTGATGCAGCAAGAGTAAATTTTCAAGAAAATTGAGGCACCTTTGCGCCGGCGATGGAAATGCATGCAGCCGGAACGTACAACTCGAACCATCAATCTTTCAACCAGCTCCTCTTTTCCATGCACCAAGAGTACTTGTTCGACATCCTGTTACATTCTACCATCCTTGAGACTTTTTGTACAGTTTTGTATTGTCGCCAAGAGCAGATTTTTGAGGGTTTCGCCCTCCGCGATCCGCATCCCAAACCATTGTGCGACCGGCAGATTTCCAACTCTGATCTTCAGCCGGAATGTACATCTTATGGGTTGCAATTTAGCAGGAAATGAGAGGTACGATCTCTTTTAATATTTCTCTCCTTGCAGGGAGTGCAAATTAACCATTCGCAAGCCAGGTCGATGTCCACCTTTGCCGTCCCATTTTGCTCTCGCGACCCGGCGTCGCGACGATGACTAACTTCAGCACTACAACAACACGTCGTCAACAATGATTCATGGCAATTCGATGACATTCACAGAATCCTTGCACTCAGTCCACAACTCCCTCGATGCCGGCTTTTTGATTTCATGTGTTTCATTTACCTAATAAGCGCCGACGTTGCCATTTCGACGTGGCACGATGCGGGAGCGAAGGTTTACCCACATCTAAATTTAGCATCACCAACCTCTTTCTTTTCTCTCAACACCTTCGATGCCAATGAACGTCAGGAAGTGCAGCAAGTCGAGATTATTACAGCCGCCTGCTTTTACGGTTCTGTTACTCTTCAACCCTGATGATCAATACGTCTGGCGAATCATCCGAGGTGCCGCGAACCGAGTCGCCCTCCTTTCGCCTGCATAATCGGGAAATCCTGGCTCTTTTATCCACCACTCGACAGCGTCCCAACACCCTTCAGCACAATGGGTCGCTCGTCTTCCCTCCGATATCAAACCGGCTCGACCTTAATGTTCTCATCTGCTCTGGGACATTCAAACGACCCAAACGGGCCATACCTTCGACGCAAATCACACGTCATCAAAGTTTCAGATTCCCATTATCAATGTGCCACCAAGTTCAGTACATTTATTATCAACATTCCTTCATACCTCTATTCCCGTACCACACAGCATCTCTCTCCACCATCGCCTGTATCAATACCCCACCATGGCAGCAGCAAAGGAGCAACCCGAATATTTGACTCAACATTATTGAATCATGGCGATCCTCTTCTATCAATCGACAAGCCATCCCTAGCCAACTCTAGTACGACCTTTCTGGGACACGATCTCTGAATCGGCCTATAACCTCATTTCTCGAGTCAGCCGCAATCACGTCGATAAATGCCCCTCACGCCAGAAGCAGATGAGTGAAATGAGCTCCTACCCCATCCCCCAAGTCACGCGAGTCTCAACCGCCAGTCTGCGCAAATTCCCTCCAAACTCTGGGGACACCCTCTTCCGGATATCATCTTCCAATCACATATCACTTCGCTCGGCAACTCAATGGTTCGCAGCAATTATTCTACTGCTCTCGGGGACCGTCATTGCCATAGAACATCTCTCTTTCAAAAGCGCCTCTTTCCACCGCCGCCAAGTCTATAACTCCCCTACCGCAGCACCAGCAGAGAACGAAAGTCCATCTTCCTCGTCATCCTCGAATTAACACGGATGTCAAGCTCTCAGCTATGCTTTACCAACAAGCGCTAACGAGCTCTACCTGCCTTATGCCATGCTGCAAGACGCAATCCATCCGCCAACTCAATTAAAATAGGTCGACGGTTTTACAGCACTATCCTGCAAGCCCCGAAGAAAGCCACTGTCAATGAACAACTATATTACAACGTCACACTTCTCCCCCTCCACCGGGTCCACAAATTTCTGGCCATAGCAAGATCAGAGGAACAACACCCGTTTTCCGTGACCTCATTGAGAGAGATATGGGGCAACCCTATCGGTTATTTTCTTCAACTCTACGTAACGCTCACAATTCCGCAACGCCCCCATCACCCCATCGCGTCAGTCGACTAGTCAACCATCTCGCAGCATCTTTCCTGCAAGTCTCGGCGCCATCAATTCTCGGTACCACGACCCTGTTGGAAGGTGCGACGTTTCGGGAGATCCGATGATGCGATATACAATTAGCGGAAAGATGGCTTATTTCCTTTCTTTTATCGCTGTTTACTGGTGTCATGAAGAATGCGCGGTGCGGTCCAAGTTATGGCTGCAAGGACCTTGAAGTCAATGGCCACCTTTGGCAATTGTCTGTGGAAGTCGATGCAGCAGCCTGCATTGTTTTTCCCAAGTTGAGAGGCTGGGACTATTCTTTCGTCCGATGAATTTGGGGGTGACAACGTAGCGATGCGGCAAACCACAAAGCCCACCATGGTTCCCCCAGATCCACAACAAGCCAGCAGCTTCTTTTTCCTGGATGTGCTTCAATTGGTCCATTTTATCGAGGCTCACGAGTAAGAGGGATTCAGGCAATGCCTTTATACCACACACCGTCTGCAGCTCCGTACATTCAATTGGAATATTCTCACGGATCAAGCAAACATTCTCTGCACTGCCTTAGGACAATCGAACCTCACTAGCGCCGTTCTTGGAGCATATAAACACCTCGGGATAGACGACGAAAGACCTCAACGCAGCATTCCGTGAATACGGTTCGGTCTGAGAGACGTGGGTAGTCGAGCATTGTCTTATTTTATCCGCAATCACATCCTCCTCACCTATCAGCATCATCTACAGTGTCTTGCCACAATGTACTTGTCTTCTGCAGTACATTCTAGAAAATATCACCTAGAAATTTTCGCTGTCAAATGTCGCAGCTTTACAATGCTCGGATGATTACCTCGATTCTCAAACGGATAGCATCTGCTTTCAAGCGAATCGCTCCGCGCCTAGGACGACCACCTGATTTTCTGGACGATTTGCTGTTGTCATGCCTCCGCTCTTCTACATACCTTTAACGTCCCGATATCCTCTACACAATATCATCTTATTCTGGCATTGCTCAAGACTCGCCCACACATCACCACAAGCAGCACGGTACAGTCTGACTTCAAGACTCTTGCTGCTCATCACGAAGGTGTTGACTGGTCAACTGTAGATGGGCAATGAGCGTGCAAGATAGATTTATATATTGCGAGGAAGACAGCCTGTGGTCGTGGCATTCGGTGTTGGGTATGAAGTGAGTTAACAAACTCGAGAATAAGTGAGAATGTTTCTGAGTTTGTGTGACATTGAGGAATTCTCAATGTTCTTGAAAATTTGTAGCAACGACAAATTGAAGTTCAGAGATTTCACATTTGAATGTTCTAAACTGTTGGGGTCTGTTGGAAGCTATAGTGAAGTCGTATTGCTATCAAGGCAGGACAAGTTGAAGATCCAGAGGACAAATAGGCAGAAGTGAGCCATGTACCAGGTCAGACGAATTACCGGGTAAAACACACGTCACGTATCAACAGAGAGATTTCTAGAACTATCGTAAATTCTAGAGAAGCGTGAAGCTCGTAGAAGCTCGGGAGCGGGCTAAATACCCCTTAGCGCGTTAAGTAAGTGAAATGTGTGCCTGAGGCTTAAGCGAATTTTCCCTCACGTCGCCAAGCGATTAATCACGTGACTATTCGGAATTGCGCCTGAGGCATAAAAGCTCGACCTCGAAACATGACCAGTTGCTTTTTGTACACTCTCACCATGAAGCAACGGCCTTGATGAATGCCCTTTTCCCAAGATACCCCACCTTTCAGTACAAAGCATGTCCTTGCTTAAGATCAGTCGGGCGGATATCAGGTGCAAATGGCAGACCTTCCCGTCGAATTACCGATTGAGTCGCAACCAGTCAACAGCACCCGTCTCCGCCGTTTCCTCGTTCTCGCAGCCATAAAGCTTCTCAAACGCATCGTCCCTAGTCATGGAGCCCTCATATTTCTCCCCAACAATCTCTGCATCAAGTACGGGCCTCTAAGGAATCTTTCAGAAGCATCGGCTATGCGATTTATCGCCCAACATACCTCGATACCAGTTCCAAAAGTACATTGCGCTTTTACTCGCAAAGGGTGCACATATATCGTGACGGAGAAAATAAAGGGCGAAATGTTGGGAATTGGATGGGTTAAACGGAGTGACGATTCGAAAGCAAAGATACTCCAGCAGCTCAAGGGAATGGTGGACGAAATGCGGAATATACCCCCTCCACGACAAGGACAAAGACAAGGCGTCTGTAACGTCGATGGTGGATCTGTATGGGACAGCCGGCTGGCTGGGACTTCGATGTACCATGGACCCTTCGAGAGTGTGCACGACTTCCATCGATATTTAAGGGGGGGGTTGGATGCAGATCCGAATCACTACTCGGATGTTAGTGAGCTTATAGCATTGCAAGACAGAGCCTGGCCGCCGCCAGTATTTACACATGGCGATTTAAGCAGCTTGAATATCCTTGTCCGCGGCGATGTTATTGTGGGAATTATTGATTGGGAGACAGCTGGCTGGTACCCATCATATTGGGAGTATACCTCGGCTTCGCAAGTAAGCCCGATGAATTATTTTTGGCGAGAGGAGATCGACAAATTCCTAGAGCCGATGCCCGAAGCATTAGAAATGGAAAAGATTCGGCAGAAATACTTCGGGGATGTTTGAAAGCGATAATGCATGTAAGTCTAGTTTTCCTGATCCGATGTGGCAGCTTTATGCTGAATCTGGCCAGACAATATATCAACATAGCTATCAGGGCACCGTCTCTTTACCATCCAGCAAGTCATATGTCGCTGCATACCTCATATTGAAGTTGCCTCTGCCATCAAAACGATGCTCACCCTTCTTTCTCTGGACATACTGCATTGCTCCGTCCCGCACTGCCTGCCACTCAGTCACGCTGGTCCCAAGAGCTTTGCCATCGGCATTGAGAGCCTCCAGTGCCTCCTTCACCCAGCCTACACAGTTCCATCCCATCTGGCCTTGCCTGATCGGCACTTTACGAAGGGCGCTCTCGAGCCGATCCATTTTCTTCACCTTTCCGATCATAATACGAACGAGCAGCATGCTTGTTGCCAGAAGAGTTACCTCTCTCTCTTCGAAAACCCACTCTGATCGACCAGCCGTAGTCATTCGCTCCTTTGCATGATATCGCTTGCCCCGACCACCTTCAACTTCGTTCTTGGGTCCGACTAGCAGGCCCCAATGATATCTAGCAGTGGCGATGTATTAGCCTCTGTAAAACCGGCTCTCCCTCAAGAGTTGAGTTTTAGTTCAGGGGAATTTTGATATGGCTCGAGCTCTCTCCACTTGAAAGCACTTTTGCGACTCGGGTTGGGAAAGCCTCATCACCAGGGGCTCTTTATGGAGCTTAAAACTTACTCGTCTTCTCCTCCAGGCATGGTCGCAGCCCCCGCACGGGCATATAGAGCAATATATAAACGATCTTTATTAGAGGGCATTGTAATGATATGGGACGGATCAAGGTAGTAGGCTTATGTGTGGGTTTCTAGTAGCAATGACCATGGATGAGTTGAGCTCTCTCAGAATGTTTTCCTGTGTGTTCGGTGTCCCCTTTATAACAGAATCATACGCTGTTTGCCCACCCCCTTCACCCTTCCACGCCCCTCTATTGGCGCCTGTCGTGTCACCTTCGAGCTATTAACTAATGAGCTGGGGTAACAGTTCCCATGTTTCATCTGTGAAACCCAGGTCAAATTATAAATGGAAAAGTAAAACGTATAAATAAGGCTGACCAGTGAGCTTGGGGGCGACCTTGCGTTACCCACGCGGATATCTATCACTCAGCTCTCCAATTATGGAGTACGCGTCGTTTGGCGCATCCATGGCGCTAATTATACCTACTGTAATTGATCTCACATAAGACGTCGGTCTGGCCCCTAACCGGCCGCTGCCGCCACTATTATAAGTTGGCCAAAATCCCAAGGCCCGTTTCGCGCCTAGAAAATTTGAGCACGCAATTCTGCAAATGAAGGTCCGGTCTAGGTATTCCCTATAAATCCTAATACTATTTTCTTAATAAAGGCATAGTATGCGGCCTTATAACATATAAGAAATAGTAGTATACTATTAATATAAATATCCGGGGCTAGGTCTATTAATAATAGAAATATGAAGTTATAAAAGAAAGAGTTTATAGAGCGAGATTTTATAATCTATTTTAGTATTTAAATAGGGCCTTAATAGGCTATAACTCGAATAATAATAAAGCAAATTTATATTTAATAGTAGAAAAATATAAAATACTCCGGATATTAATTGGAGATATAATTAGAGGTATAATTAGAGGCCAGACTAGTTACTAATTTAAAGTAAAGGTACTTAAATAAAAAATACTAAATCTAGCTTTTTCTTTTTTTAAATTTATTTTTTATTTTATAAGAAATTAATACTTTCTTTATTTTATTATAGTACTAATTAAGGTCTAATTAAAAATATACTTTTTATAAAATATAAACTAGTAATAGTTTTTTAAATTAAAGAAATTAAAAGTAAATATTTTATATTTTAAAAATAAGTTTAAGAAAATTTAAAAATTTAATAAATAAGTTCCTAAAGCTAAAAATAAAAGTCTTATAAATACTTAATTTATAAAATCTTATAAGTCTTTAAAATTAAAACTTAATTAATTAATATATAAATTCTTTTAAATTAAAATTATATTTTAAAAAATCTTTTTATTATAAATTAAAAAGTATATAATTATATTATAAGCTTTATAATATATTAGCTTATATTTATATTAAAAATCTAATTTAAGGTTTCTAAATATTAGTACGGCTATTCCTTTGAGAGTTACGTATATAGTTACGGGATACAGGATACGGGATATAGGTAATGGGATATGGTATACGGGATATGGGATACGGGATATGGGATACGGGATATAGTTATATAACCTTATATCCCATTAGTAACTCGACTAGTAAACTAGACTCCTTTAGGCTTAACAGATTTAGGAATCATATATTAATATTATAATATTATAATCCTTACTTCTGAATAATAACTTTACTAACTATATATAAATAGTATTCTATAACTTATATAATAGTACTATATATTACTAGTAAACCGATACTAATTAGTTTATATATATAGATTAGAAATAAAATAATTATACTAAAAGAGATATCCGGTAGCCCTTAGTAATATTAATCTAATTATATTAAAAGGGGGAATTACTTATTAAACTCTACGAAAAAGTATCCGGTAGCCTAAGAGAAAAGACCCTAGTTCTTACTAATTAATAAGCGGTCAGCCATTGAACTATCTATTTATTTAACTTCTACTATTCTTTAAAACTAATTTCTTTTAGTCCCAAGATTACCTTCTTGAAAACCATCTTTTTCACTTATATAATACCCGTATCTACGGAATACTCTCTCCGGAATATATACCCTATATATCTCCTTAAAGCTCTTTAACTACTACTTCGATTTTACTATCAAATCGAGTTCTTTGAGCTTTAGACCCTTCCGGAATTATAATATTTCATTTCCTAAATTTCTCATTATAGACGAAATATTTAAGGGCAAAATATTTACTTTAATACCTATAATACCTCTAGACATCTAGGGCATCTGGTATCTAAACCAGGCATCTAGTATCTTAACCAGGCATCTGGACCAGGCATCTGGCACAGGCTCGGCAAAAATACCTGAGGCATCGATACCGGTATCGATAGTAGAGGTATTTTTCAGGTATCGCAAGGAATCGATAGTATTGATACCAGAATCGATTCTTACCCCAAAAATTAACTCTTTCTTTTATTATTTAAATTATATAATAATGTATTATTATATAATTCCTTTAATTTCTAGTCTTTCTATTAAAAGAAATACTTACTATTATTAATAAAAGTTAATAATATTAATAATATCTTAAATTTAAAATAGCCCTCGTATTCGGAGAATTAAGCCCCGTATTCGTATTTCTTATCAAGACGCTAAATATATAAGCGAGCCTCACGAAAATCTCAAAAGCTCATTTTTACTTAAAATAGCCGCATTGAGATAAGTTTTGGTCTAAAATATAAGACAAGTAGCTAAATAGAAAGCCTAAATCAAGTAGAATATTTGCGCTACCAAAAGTTTTCTTATAAGAGAAGTGGTTCTAAAGTTAATTGCAATTAAAGGGGGGAATTGGGTTCGGGGAATCGATACTACTATCGATACTATCGATACCTTACGATTCTGGCATCGATACCTATCGATACCGGAAATTAAGGAATTTTTGCCGAGCCTGTCTGGCATCTAAACCAGATATCTGGCATCTTAACCAGGTAGTCTGGACCAGGCATCTGGATACCTTTACTACCAAACCCTTTCTACAAACCTATTACGAATTACTTTACCCTTAAACCCCTCTTACTACAAACTATATATATATACTAGGGAGGACTTAGCCCTAAGAATTCGGGATAGTAAATCTTTAGAATAGATATAAGCAGATAAAGAAATAGAAAAACGGTATTAATCTGGCTAGCTCTAATAATAAGGAAATCCTGGATTACCTTAATAGTAAATTATTTTAGTATAAGGTAGAGAAATTAACTAATAAGGATCTCTGGGAATTATTTAAGGAAGATTTTAGTAATTTCGATCTCAAGATATTTAATTAACTAGATTAATATATACTATACTAATTATAAGCTATTTTATAGTATAGTAGTATTTATATTAAATATAACTATAGTTACTTTACTATTATATAGTCCCTAGTTAATACTATTTAGAGAGAAAAGTAATATATCTGAATTACTAATAATATTATTACTACTAGATAAGACCTTAAAGCAAGCCCTATTACCTTATTATATATATTCCTAAATAATAATATTATAAGAAATTAATATATTAAACTAATTATTACTTATATTTCTTTACTATCTACTACTCCTTTATTATCTATAACTATTTCTACTAGTACCAAACCGTAAAGAGCCAAAGCTAATAATCTTCTATTACCTTTACTATTTCTAAATAACCCTCTAGCTAGCCCTCTTACTATAAAGCTAATTAGAGAAGTAATAAAGATATATATTGAGATATAGAAATATAATAGAACTAATAGTAGTTTTAACTAAAAACTTACTATTTTCCTTAATATATAAAGCTTCTAGAAAAGGCATTAGTAAAAGCTTTTCCTACTATATTAAAGGAACTAGTATAAAACTAGTTCTATAATAACTAGCTTTCTTAATATATATATAAAAAAGCTTATATAAATATTTATAATTTCTTTAAAGGCCCTAATTACTATTATTAAAATTTAGATAAATAAAATATTATTATCTTAATAACTATAATAGTAAAAGACCCTAAAAAGATAATATTTAAGCTTATTTAAATACTAATTAATAACCTATATAAATTATAATATAGCCTTACTTCTGTTTTATAAATTACCGAATTCCTATATAATAAGATTATTACCTCTTATTAAGGCTTACCGGTATACTAATATATAGTCTCGAACCCTTCTAATAATCTCGGCTAGCTTATTAATAAGCTCTAATTATCTATTACTATCTATAAGAAGAAATAATAGATTAATATCCAGATCCTCTTTATTAATTAAAAATATTATTCTTAAAACTCTCTAAACTATTATTTATCCGGAAATTATTAATATAGATCTAGCTATAACTTCGGAACTTGTAATAACTATTTCAAGTTCTATAATTATAATAATTATACTCCGAAATTATATTTTATATATAAGAAACCCGAATACTACTTATAAAAATATATACCGGAAAAATAAAAGGCCAAGAAGGCTTAATTTAAGAATAGAAACATTTACTAATTTAGATCCCGAAATACCTATAACTTTAATAAATACTTTAGTAGTACTTATATATAGTATATTACCGAATTTAAAGAAAAAGAAAATAATAAGAGTAATAAGAACAAACTAGTAAATAATACTTTTAAAGCCTTATTAGTAGAAATAAATAAAGAAAAGAAATATTATTCTAATTCCTATTTTATTTCTATTAAAAGCTTCCTAGCTATTCCTATAGCCTTTATTTCTACTATTCCTATAACTAATACTCTTATAAATAACCTTATTTTTCTTTCTCTTATATATTAGATAATAGGTAAAAACTATATCCTAAAATCTATTAAATAAATAAAGAATACTCAGATATATATAATTAATAATATATTAAAATATAATACTTATTACTTTTACGGAATTATAATTAATACTAGAGCTTCTAGATTCTTAACTACTAATTCTAACTAATTCCAAGCTTTATAATAGACTAATAATAGTATTAAACTTAATAAAACTACTAAAGATTAAGTTAATATCTAGTTTAGTATTAAATCTATATTCTCTATTAGATCTATAATAATAAGAATACTAATTAGGCAAATATAATTCTATATTATATTTATAAAGATTCTATTTCTACTTAGCTTAACTAATA